TTCTCCTTACGGATTAGTTCGTAGAACTTAGCCTTTACCTAAGCCGGGGTAAAATGCTACCTAACTACGACGAGGAAGTTACGGATAGCTATAGAACCCTTAATATCGTTTACTTTATACTAACGATAGCCCCGGATAAGAGTATTCTACTCCGTATACCACGCTACTACCTTCGTGTTAGCTCTTCGGGTACCCTAGAGGTGCTTATGGTATACTCGACGGACCTCCTTAGCTAAGAATAGTATACTAGGAGCGAAGTATTTCTTGAATTCCTTTATTACTTATCGAATCGTAAAGTAACGGTTTTATTTCCCCTCTTCGTAGCTAAGGTACTTCTTAATAGCTTCCTCGACGGCTTATTAATAGGTAAAGGTTTCGATAATCGCTTTAAGTATATAATTAGCTTTATTAAGCGCCTTAATCGATCGGGCGAGCTTTTAATTATATACCGTGACCTTATAGCCTTCTAGCTTAGCGAGCTTAATTAGTTCCGATATAGTAGGAGGGGTCGGCACCCCGTTAATAACCTAGGTATATTGTTCGCGTAGTTAGTCGATAGATATAGGTATAACGTACTCGGGTCGGTTATCTGGCTACTCCGGCCTATTAGGGTCGAGTAAGGCCTAAACCTCTATACCCTACGTATATAACTTAATATAGAAGATCTAATCGGCCCATTACCTAGTAGACTCTAGCCGCGGGATACCGAGCGCTTTAGCGGTGACTTTAAGCTTCGTGGATATAGTTTATAGTAGGGGTTTAGCGAATAATGGCTTTTCTAAGCGAGAGGGTAGGGTAGATACTCCTTAATTAGCTATAGAAGTATATATAACGGGTAGAAATAATATATAGGTAATAGATTAGCTAAAAGTTATTAGTAATAAATACTACTACCCGGGCTTATAACTATTAGATTAACGGGCGTGTGATCCGGCCAGAGCCGAGATTTAATAGATATATAATTATATTCGTTTTATAAAGGAAAGAAGAATAGAAAGGTATAGGTATTCTAAATATATCTACCCCTTTTCCACGCGAGGAATATAGGGCTAGTCCAGCTAATAGAAACACAGAAAACAGGCTCACGTGTTTTCAGTGCGATATCATTTACGGTATAGACGTTCTCGAATACCGACGACCCGGCCCCCGTGGCAATCAGCTTTATATAATGCTTATCTGGACCGGAAAGCCTGTACTGAGCCGTTGCAAATTAACAGCGGCATAGTTATTAGTGGCACAGTGGGCATCCCGAGACGCTTTGCGTAGGCCCTTAGGGTCTAGGAGCGACATAGTGACGGCGGTGAGTGTCCTTCAATGCCGGCCCAACTCTGCAAGGACCCAATTCCCAGAGAGAGATATGTACGTGTACGTCGTACATACTGTATGTATTTCCGCATGCGGCGCGCACCCATGCGATTATCTTGCCAAGACGCCAGCGGCCAAACCCCCGCCCGAGGGTCGCCGAAGAGCAAACAAAGGGCGCAACCGCCACTATCCCTTCCACGGCCATTGACAAGCGAGAAGAGAGCATCCGTCCAGGACTGTGCCCCGGCCGGCCAGTCAGCCTGCCATATCAACGCCCCCAAGAAGCCAAGAAGGAGACTTACACCTAGTACAAGCCTACAAGGGGCTGGTCAACAAGGGGTTAGATTCAGAATTCTAGATGTCAAAATCACCAAAGGCGGGTCTCCCGACGGGTCACGGGCCTAGACTGCCAAGTGCGGACCCTAGGCGATGGGCTCTCTCGTGGTGATCGGGAAGAAACCTCTCTCCCACTCAGGATGAAAGCGAACGAAAAGACAAGGAGTCGTCCGAGTGGACTCAGTCGACTCAGTCGAGGACCGAGGGTGAAACTTTGAAATCCCGCCCGCAAGAAAGAGAGAACGAACCGGGCGAGTAGAAAAGAGTAGAAAAGAGTAGAAAAGAGTAGAAAAGAAAAGAAAAGAAAAGAAAAGAAAAGAAAAGAAAAGAAAAGAAAAGAAAAGAAAAGAAAAGAAAAGAAAAGAAAAGAAAAGAAAAGAAAAGAAAAGAAAAGAACCTTGTTGACCAAAACACAACGTTATAAACTCCCGAGACAAGAGAAAACTCCCGAGACAAGAGAAGCTGGGCCTGGATTTATTCCGAAACCCGGTTCCAAGACATCCAACTGCCCGTACCAACACGGTCACTTTGACTTGTCGACTCGCCATTACAGTTTACCTAATACCCCCTCTCTCCACTGTTCAGTGTTCACCGGTGACTGACCTGGAGGAAGCCTGGAAGAGGCCTGAGACGAATGAGAATACTCCCGAAAATGACCAGCTCTCGGACAGTCGGAGGATAACACTTCTCCGGCCACCTGCAGCTAACAGCTTAGTTCTTGGCACTGGATCGAAGCGAAAGTCGCATCTTATTCCATTCTGAGATTAACGCACTGGGGTTGGTGTTCTAAGAAGGGGAATGAGGCCATGAGGGCCCGAGGTGTGCCCACTGCCAGGGTCTGGGGTAGACCGTAAACGTTGGAACTTGGGGGCGCCAACAAATTTAGCCGTACAGTTCTTCGAAATAGGGAGGTATTCCCATCTTTCTTTCGTCCTCTCCCTCCCTCTGACCGCTGTTCTTTTTTCTTTTCCTTCCAATCTTCTGAAAGAAGAACCTCAAAGCATGCGCCGAGTCGAAAGAACTCGTCCGTCGGACGCATGCAGAAAAGGGACGGTCTCGAACATGCTTAAATTTGGCGACTTGGGGGGTCGGGCTTGCCGCATCTCGGGTGCACTGAACTCACTCTTCTACTGCTCTTCGAGTACCCTCATTGGGCCTGCGGAATAGACACGTGGTACTGGAACACTGCCTGGAACCTGGGATAACCTTTACCATCACCGCATGCGGCCTGCCCCTGAAAATTCAGGTTCGGGAAGATTATCCACGCAAATAAGCGAAAACAACGATACAGCAGGGCTACTTTGTGCAGCTGTGCTTGCAAGATCGATCTTCTGCAAACGCTTTGTCAAATTCGAGTAACGGACTCTGCGGTTTAAAGACGAAGAATTCGCCTCGTTCGCCTCGCCAGGGGGTCGGTGAACGGTGAACCTGCTATGCGTACGTTGTAAGTTTGCAACTTTGTCTCCTGATTGGACAGACAGACAGACAGGACCCTACAGGCTACGGGCCTACATCGCTTCGCCACAGCCTACAGGACAATTGCCATAGAGGTCGTTCTCTTTCCCACTCCTGTCAGGATGCTAATTAAAGGCAGGCAAATAATCAAGACTGATGCGGCGGAAGGGTGTGCCCAGTGATGCTCGCCCATGAAGCGTGGGTGATCCCCTGCAGCCAACGACCAGGGACGTCTGCGGCCCCCAACGGTCCCAACCAATGTGAGGTCCCTTGAATATGCCGGGATGTCATGAGGATGTCATGTCGACCAACCGGGTGCTTTCACTACCTATGTGCTACCTTTATGTTACGTACATGTACTATCTGTGGCAAAGCCATGCAGCCACAGGTGACAGGTTGGCACAGGCTGTCTCAACTCCCAGACCTGCGTCCCTGTCTCCTCGGCCCCCGTCCTGCAGGGATCATGCAGGAATATCCTAACCAATTTTAGACGTCCTTCTTCATGATCCGTCCTAAATGTTTGTCTACCTTGGGCTGGCCCTGGTTTGTCTCGACACCCTCTTCTCTTCTTCTGTTTCGCCAACATGTTCTCGTTCGTCCGTGGCATGCCCCGCCACAACCATCACCACCATGACTCCATGAGTCCATGACCTCCAGACCTCCGCCTCGGCTCTTGCTCCTCTGTTGCTCAGGTGCGCCCGTCATCGAGAACCAATGGTATCTATTTCCTCGTCTACCAACACTCAAAGAGCGGGGTATCGACGACTACCCCCCCAATGCTCTTTGTCCTTCCTAATTGCATGCAAGGTATGGGAGGTGCAAGGAGTGTAGGGAAAGAAAGATAAAACCAAAAGAAAGATAAAACCAAAAGAAAGAACAAACGTGAAATAAAAATAAAACAAAAAATAGGGGGGAAAACGAACCACCTTTACTGCGGTGAAAGAAATCACCGACCTCCCTAGAACAACGACCTACGTAAACATTCGCTGTTTCGGCCGCGAACTAATCGGATCACGGAGTACGGACTTCGGAACTAAAACTCTACAAAGTACGAAGTCCCGTCCCCTTGGCATTGGTCTAACGTGGTGGCGCCACCGTTGCATCCACAGCGAAGCCCCATGAGGCTGAAAAGTGGGCTGCATTAGCGTGCCTCGGCCCCAGATCTTAATCTCAACGTCAACCTCGACCCTTCGTTTGCTGTCCCTTGCCCATGGTGATCGTCTTGCATCTCGGTACCCAATCACCTCTCGAACATGCTCCCTGCACTTTTGTGAAATCACCGAGTAACAGAGATATTCAATACGTAATGCATGTCGAGTAGTGGCTTCATTCTCTTCTCTGTTAGGCAACTCACAACCCGAGGCCGCGAGCGACAACGTAGTCTGGTCTGTCCAATTGGTCATTAGTGATTGCTCACTTCGTATGTCTGTCTACCGTATCTACCCTTGCCGAAAGCCATAACGCCTGAAAAAGTGAGTACCAAAGTTTCCGACCCAACCTTTTTGCAGGTTGGCTCCCTGCTGCAATTAACGGGAGCCACCGAAAGTTCCGGGATCTCGACCTGTCGCTGCAGGTTCATTGACCCGCTGAGTCCGCCAATAACCCCGCATCCAGGTAATCCGAGCCCTATAGAGCACAGAGTTATGTCCAACTCCCTCAATTCAGGCCGACTTGTTGCGTGCTTGAATTCCACGCATTTCGTTTCATCCAGCCAGTCTCGCACAGTGCGAATGTCGCCACCAGGACCCATCATCCTTGTCCCTTCATCCATTATTTGTGGTTATCGCCACACTGAATGATCGAATTTCCACCGTGGTTTGATACTTGTGTGGTTCCAATGGCATTCACACTCCTTGTTTTCATGAGCAGTGTAGAAGAATCTCAGGACGTGACTTCTCATTCACGGAGCCGAAGCGGGTTCTCCACTGGATATGGGGATCTGGATTACCTCAAATTAGCAATTGATAACGATCAAACTGATAGAAACAAGCTTACTTAGTCAACCAACCAACCAACCAACCAACCCAACATCTTTGGATTATATGTCTTCACCTTCATGCGAAGGGTCGCCAGTCTCCGTTGTATCATACTTTTTGCCAACGCTATCGTTAGTAGTCGTCATGTTCTCAGCATGAAACATGAAAGGAATGCCCGCAAAAGACGTCTGATTCGCAGCTTGAGAAGTGGATGAGAAGACTGATGTCTGGAACTGGGCCATTCGCTCTGAAAAGGGATTTACGACCTGATTACCAGATAGAAGGTTTTGCGAGAACTCAATACTCTGCAGAATTGCTGCACTTGTGTTTTGCGCAGCTGGAGAGACCATGGCCTCATTCTCGTTCCATTGCAGACCCATGTCAGTGAGATCTGTCTCATCAAAAAAGTTTCCGGAACCATCCACAGCTTGGTTGGTGAGGGATGTACTTGCGCCAGGAAATGTTGGGCTGAAGATAGCATCTGGATTCTGTGTGTGATTCTCCAAATTATTTCCACTTTGCAGAAATGCATCATTGCTCAGCATTTCAGCTGTGGTAAAGTCGTCCTCGTTGAAGAAACCAAGATCATTGTGGACGGGGAGCTCGCCATTGGATGTAGTTTCCTGACCATTGGAATTTTGGTAGCTCTGAGAATGAGAGAAGTAGTTGGTCTGATTGGAAGTGGTAATGGAAGGGAATCCAGAAAGTTCATCTTCTTGGAATCCCTGGGCAGATGAAGAATTGTTTGCCCTGGGAATAAATCCTGTATTGCCAGCAGGCTGATGAACCAGATGCTCAATTTGAGGAAGAATAGCATCTGTCTGGGCTTGGTCCACTACAGAAATGTTAAGCAGGGCTCTGGATATAGAGGGAGCGTGGTGGAAACTAACAAGCACGAGCACGATGAACAGGAAAGCTGTCATGGACTTCTGCGACCGAGAGAACGGTGGAGATTGTATGTCTGGAGGCAATGATGCGATCGCGCAATCTCTTCACAACGTACTCGGCGCGAAACTCATTGGGTCCAACCTTAGAAAGATGCCATTTTCCACTTGGCTCCGGAGCAAGGCGTTGAAGAACTGCAATGGGCAGTATGCTCATGAGTTCTGTTTGGGTTATGTCGAGACCCAGCTCGGTTTCATCGTCAAACTCCATGGCCTATATTGGGAAGAAGATGCAGCAGAAAGAAAGCGGAAAGAAATTTGATGTGAGGTCGATGATATTCCTGGAAGGCCGAGTCTCCAATACCTCCTATTCCGAGTGTCAGAGAAGTAAGAGAGAGAGACTCGAAGAGTTGGTTTCGTTAATGGCAACGTTCCTAATTCTTGGTGGTAAAATGGGAAACGCTACGAGGTATCTCGATGGATAGGACTTGAGGAAGGTACAGTAGGCCAGTAAGCACAGTAGGGATTAGTTCATCTAAGCGGGTACTAGCCGGGAATTACGCCTCGTAAAACAGGGTAGGTACGGAACAGTGGAAAGACCTTCGATAAGGTAGGCGTGTAAGTCAAAAGGAAAGGCACGGGTTCACCACCTCATGCCGTACCGACCAAGGCTAAGCAAGTATTCTTCTTAAGCTATTTCATTTCTTTGATCCAGAGAACCACTAAATGTGAAACTTTATAAAATCTGTTGTAACGGTTTTAAGGTCCTGATCTCTTTTTAGCCCCTGCGTATGACAGAAGTGCAACCAAACAAAATACGTCAAAAGACGGATTCTCGCACAGTATCTTCCTCCATATAGCTCTACTTGGGATTTGTGCATTTCTACTGTGTAACTTGATGATTTTGTGTCCTTGAATAGTCCTTATTCCCGGTGAAACCACCTGGGGAAATAGCGAATATCGGGGGGAAGGCACGCGCGGCACTCAGAGAAAACATTACTGCCTGTTATTGATTATTTACTCCTATTCCTGCTCACCTACACGTTTACCCGCCATGTAACCACCTTACAGATAATAGAGACATATTCCTCTCCTGACTGCCCTTGCCTAATATAGACCTCCCATGAAAACTAAGAAAGGGAAGGCGGACTCCATGCACGTGCATGACTTATTTCCCCATATATGGGCAAAACACCACCTTCTACCTACCTTACCTACCTTATCTATCTAGGTATGCAAGGTACCTTACCTAACTCATCTTCCTTCAGCACCTCCACCTTTCTCGGTTCTTAATTCTCTCTCTCTTCCGTGGATTACGCTTTCGTCTACTTCCTTTCTTCTCTACACCTGCCGGGAAACGAAAGATTATTATTTTCTTCTCAGTTCTCTATTCCCATCTTCCGAAAGACGTCTCCTAAATACTCTCGCGATGGATATCAGTAACCTCGAGCTGCAACCCCAGGTTCTTGGCACAATGTCCCAACCTGTCAGCCCCGCCATCATCGCCATTGTCGACAACATCCTCAACATGCAGTTCAATCCGTTCCAGAATGTCGTCGTGGTCAAGCGCTCTGAATATGACATGCTTCAGGAAGGGGGTCGAGCTTGGCTTGCGGAGCATCTCAGGTATGTCACTCTCACAACTTCAACAAGCGTCTAATCGCTCCTCTTTGCTTACTCTTCGCAGCCATACTCTCGAGAAAGATGTCATTTGGGTTCAGGATGGCACTACGGCCATGGAGCGATACTTTGTGGGGCCTATCGAAGAATTCATCAGTGACAATCGCATGCTCATCAACATTGATGGGCGAGCCGTCCTTGTCGAGCGCCCTACCGGCAAGGGCATTCTTGATAAAATACGTGGCGACGACAAGTCAAAGCGCAAACCTCAGAAGATTTCCCGTCCCCCAAATGCCTATATCCTGTACCGAAAGGATCATCATCAAATGATCAAGGCGGCTCATCCTTCGTACACGAACAACGACATTTGTAAGCACTCTTCTCACTATTGTTTCATTTCCGTATTGACTACTCGACAGCGAAAGTTCTGGGGAGCGCATGGAAGAATGAGAGTGAAGAGGTCCGCGAGAAGTATCACCGCATGGCAAACGAAATCAAGCAAGATCTCATGCGCGCGCATCCGGAATACAGATACACTCCTCGGCGTCCGCACGAACGTCGCCGACGTGCTCGTCGCATCCAGACTAGCAATACCTGAGGCCAATAGCCATTGTTCCATGATCAGCGGTTCTAGATCTAAGTCGTAATTGTTCTTGCACCGTCCTCCTCGGTTGGCACGCTTGGTTCTCGCCGAGAAGAAGGTGAGGACGTCACCACCCCCAATAACCATGTGTAGACCAAGGGCTAACAAGCAACAGGCACACCATAGACACAGGAAGGAATCGGTGCCGTTTTGGGTTGGATGTGTTCACAGAAGAGAAAGTAGCTTAGGGTAAGTTATAGAGTCTCACAGAGAAGCGAATGAGCGAAGGGAAATACTACAGCAACTTGCACAATGCTAAGACTCTGTTTCGCCGTGACCATATCTTGTCTGCAGAGGTCTGATGATCCATTCAGGTGTAGTACCGAGCTATGCTCATCCGTGTATTCATTCCTAGATCCCATGGCAGCACAAATACCTCCAGTCTGCTACTGACGGTCCTTCCAGTCGCTGCTCCAAATGAACGTTCCGCATCTCCATTGCGTTCCCTTTTCCTTCTCTCCTGAAGGCCCCAAAGGCCTTGGACATATGTAGAATGATCGCCCTGCAGAATAGGGAAGGGGTCAGTCTAGCTGTTGGGGAAGGGGCCGCGTTCTTGCCCATCTTGCCCTGGACTTGGATTTGGGGGGGGGGGGGTAGAGTGAACGAGATGTGACATGGTGTTTGTGATAATCCCGACACCAGGCAGCACCTTCCGCGCCACCCGCTTTTTATTTTCCTTTTTTTTTATTTTACAAACGTTGTGCGTGTGACGTATGGGTGTTTTGGTATTTCCGAGGTTGAAAATCAGATGAGAGCGAGTTGATAATGGAGTGAGAAACCAACATCGTGATGGAAAGAGTAAAAGAGATGTGACGTCACGTACCACAGTTGACACCAGGCTTCTTAGTCACAAGGCTGATGCAAGGCTCACCATGTTCGCATTTCGGCGGCATCCTCTTCCCTAGCTGAAGTCTTGACCAGGACTCCTTCGCCTGAATTGGGTCGAATACCTTCTCGGCGGATTCGATCGCGTAGTTCGACAACTGCGTCGACGACGATGTTTCCTGCTTGCTCGATGAACCCGATATAGTGTGCGTCGAGGCCTCAGGTGCATCGGTCGCGTCGGCTTGGGAATCCCTGCTTCCCGTTGGGGACGTATTCGTCACTGTCAGGAGTGATTCGAATGCACTCGTCTCAGACGGCGCCGTTGCCGTGCATGGAACGACATTGGTTTGTTTGGGCTTGAAGAACCCTTTCAACGTGCTCTGGGCGAAACCGCCTCCACTTCCTTTAGTGCTTGCCTCGCTCTCGTTCGTTTTGGTCCTTTTGAATGTTCTCTTCGGCTGGGACGGCGGTTCTGCAGGCCTCTTCGACGAGGACTTCGCCTCAGGCCTTGTGGTTGTGGTCGTGCTTTGAGATGAGAGAGAGCTATTCGTAGTTGGGAGTTCTTCTGGCATTGCTGGGAGTACAGTTTCTTGGGTCTGTACGTCCAGAGTCTCAAGTGCGACCCCTTTGTTCTCTTGGAGAGGCTTTGTTTCGAAATCCGTCGAATCATCTGCGGAGTCGGACGGTTTGGGCGTTGTCGGGGTTGACGTAGTAGACGGTTTCTTCATAAACATGTCTCGAATGCTACGTCGCCGGTCAAACTCGGGTATGAGCTTCGCGGACAGGGGGAGAAGATCCTTTTGTGACCATTCTCTCAGTCTCGTTCCCTCTCGAAACATCCCCTGAGGGTTCATCAAATCGAGGAGATGAGCCTCCCCGCCACCAACATTGACCACATCTCCCAGAGTGGCATAAACCGGACAGTGATCCGATCCGTGCAGCCCTTCTTGAATGTTAGCGTCGATAAACCACTGCTTGATGCCTGCCGAGCACAGTATATAGTCGATGCGGCTGCCGTTATTGGCCGGGCGAGTGTTCTTCTTCGTGTCCCAACAGGTAAACATGCCCTGGCGGCATGGATGAAAACACCGGCATAAGTCCCAGAGAACAGGTTCCTGGCGACCCTCATCGCGCTCTCCGCTGACAGAACCCTCGAAAACGAGCTGATTAAAGAGACGTCGTGCCGGCACAGCCATCCAGTCATTGACCGTCAGCCCTTCTTTCCGTAGATTCTCGGCCACGTTCAGCGTGTCCAGCTCGGAACGCATGACGTTCAAATCACCGGTCAAGATGACTTGCTTTCCAGCGGCGACCAGGTTTCGGACCCTGACGTCCAGGGCATTAAGGAAGCCGATCCGGAAAGCGTCACGGGATGCATCGCGATTCGCAGGACTGTATGTTCCAATCAAGACAAACGAGGGGAACTCGAGGATCACGCAGCGACCCTCGGAATCGAGAAGGGCCTCGTCGACTTCGTCCAAAAGCTGGCCAGGTCGCGGGTAACCCCCGATCTGCTGGGCCTCGGGGAGATCACGGTATTTCGTCGACGAGTTGGGAGGGCAGAGAACGCCCGTGATTCCTTCTTCGGCCCGGATGGGGCAGCACTTGGAATTTCGCGTGTAGATGGCGACTCCCGAGTAACCTTCGCGAGGGTCTTAGACACCGCTGTTGTCTCGCATCAGGGGTGGGGCAAGAAACAACAACTCACCCCTTTTGTGTTTTGGGAGACTGAAGAACACATCCCAGCCAGGGACGAGGACCATGTCATCTCTAAGATCTTTCCGCTGGATCTTAGTCTCCTGCATAATGACAATGTCGGCCTCCAGGATTTCGAACATCGCCTGCTAACGTGTCAGACGCAGAACGCTAGCAAGGGAAGGCGGCATCTACCGACTTGGAATGACCGTTTCTCCCTCCATGGCTGGTATCCGAACGGGTTTCTGAGTCAAGTCAGCCGGAAGTTTGAAAAGAATGCTCCTTCAAGATGACTAACCGTATGCCGTTGACTTGAATAAGGTCAGCAACGAAACTCCTAGGCCGTCGAAGTAGAAAGACTCACCGTTCCAGGTCGTAATTCGTAGAGGCATCTTAGGGAACCCAGCTCAGATAAATCCTTGTTCGGACTTCAAGAACATATATGTCAGGGATATATGTTATCTGCTGGCTCCGCCTCACGTTCCTTCGACGCCTACTCCCAAGGCGGCGGATAGGGTGTATGAAGTATGACGATGCATTGGCACCGCCGTTGGCAGCCTGGACCGTATAGGGCGGTTTTCCCCCTAGATGGAATTTCTTAATGTGAATTTCTCTGTGACAACTCAAGCTGTTACAGCCATGCTAGAGATTTCGATACCGAGTGCATGAAAACGACGTTGACTGTGACGCGACGTTGTCGCCCCCTCTGAAGTAAGACGTGGGCGACGCGAACCTTTGCCACGAGGTCACGTGATATATGATCCCGAGCTCTCCTCCAAATCCGTACTAGGCGGTAGCCGAATGGGTCACGTGATCTTTTTCACAAAACTCGAGCCCACGGGAGACGTCCCGGAAATGGCTGCCTCAATTGCAAGGCAGAAAGTGACGTTTCCCATAGCCGAGCTTGTCATGACCTGATCTCAACCAGCTGCATCACGACACACCGAATCACACCCCCAATTGACAACTTGACAACCTCCCCGGACGTCGACGACAACCAAAAAAAGACAAAATGGTCCTCCAGCGACAGCTCGCCCGCGCCGCCCCGCGCTATACTGCCCAGCTGCGAGCTACGGCCCAGCGCCGCCTGGCCAGCACCGACAATGCCTTCATCCGCGAGCGCCAGCATGCCAAGGAGCATGCCGCCGGCACCACTGGTTGGTGTTCCTTCCTTTTTTTCTCCTCGCCGACGTCCCTCTCGGTAAATGCAGAGTGTTCGTGCTAACAATTGAACCAGAGCTCTGGCGCAAGATCTCCATCTAGTACGGCTTACCCTTTCCTTCTCGTCCCGCTGCTCTGAGCGATTTCCTCCAGTATCCGATGATCGAAAAAGATGGCGTTATTCTACGAGCCTGCCGAGGGTCGTTCATTTCCTTAGTTTGATTGTCTCGCGGGAGAGGAAAGCGACTGGATGCGGGTGTGGTGACAGAAAATTGAATTGGCTGACCAAGGGACGGCCAAAAAAACAGCGGCTGCATTCCCGCCCTCGCCATAGCTAGCTGGAACGCTTACCGGCTCTGGAACGAGCATTGGGAGCACTGGTCGCACCTCCCTCCTCTGGAGGAACGTACCGAGTACCCCTACCAGAACATCCGCACCAAGAACTTCGCCTGGGGCGATGGTGACAAGGTGAGAAAAATTCCAATCAATGTAGTTTACGCGGTGTCGGCTAACATTATGTGTAGACTGTTTTGTACGTATCCTCCTTATCTCAGGAAGTCGACTGGTTTTTGCCGTTTTCTCCGTCTCGAAATGATGAGATTTTGACTTTGCTCGGCTCATTGAGACGTTCCGTTCCCTTCAGTCTTTAGCTCTTCTTGAGAGAAATTAGCTTCGCTGACAGTGATGCAGCTGGAACGACAAGGTCAACTACCACAACAAGGACAAGACGACCTAAGCTGGGTCAAGTTTGCGACCACATAATCGACTACCCGCCTACGGAGCAATGCTTAGACGGATGGTGATTGATCACTAGGATGGAGGTGTGGGCTGGCGAAAGAGGGAGGACGACACGACGAACCAGTCGACCTGTATATGATTTCCTAGATTCCGAACAATCAAAACAGTCAATGACTCGAACTCTCGTTCCAGTTTCGCACCGAACGATTTGGTGAGCGGCGACATGTATGTGCGGAGAATCACTTGCTCAACACTGCTTCCCTGTATCGCTGTGACTAGTGTTGAATCTTAGGGCTTGCTAAGCCGGGGAAGATGCAGTTGTGACGTTAAGGCTCATGAACTAGGCAAGACCCTGGGGATTCCGGCTGTGGTGAGGTGTCTATGGATCCTTCGTGCCAAAGGTGTCCTGCACGAGGGAGGGCGATGCTGCCTGTGTAGACCGGGATCACTTCGTACAATTTGTACTACAGACCATGCTTGTTAACATGTGGCGAGCGCGGCGGCACTTTTTCGCAGAGAGACATAAGCGGCCGCATAATCCGCAGCCAGCGCCTTGTCCCCTGCGACCTTCATAATGGTCGCCTTCTTTGCCATCATCTCGCACTGCTTCTTGGTGTCCTCGATGGCGGAATAAGAATCGAACGCTTTCTCGACCGCACTCGCGGCCCTCGTCAGGTGCTCTGTTCGCCGCGCCGAGTTGGGCGGTGCCTTCCCGGCGAGTCCCATGTTGGCATCGGCAAGATGTGAATAGAGCTGTCCGCTCATGGCAGCCGATTCATACTCCAAGCTGCGCGGGAGGACGGCCGTCAGGAGCTGGGCGGCGGCGTCAAATTCGCCGAGGGATGAGAGGATGCTGGCGAGGGCGCCAGACGCCTGCCAGAGGGTGGGGATGAGGCGGGCCCGCCAGGCCGTGCTCGCGGCCCGCATTGCTAGGGTGAAGCCTCTCTGCGGACGGCCGGCCTTGTCGAATAATTGTGCCTTGAGAAGCATGAGGTGCACATATAGGGCAATGTCTCGTTTCCCGTCGTCGAGGGCATCTAGCATGTCTTCCACCTTGCTAAAGGCAGCTTGGAGATCTCCGCGGCGCATGAGATAGTCGACATGTAGGGAATTGATGACGAAAGCCACGTCAGGCTCCATATCGTCCTGCTTCGACTGGAGAAGCTGAGACATCAGCTGCTCCGCAGCATCGAGGTTATCGTGGCGCAGATCACGGGTCAACTTAATGATGCCCCGGTATTTATACCAATATTGACTGGCCTTCCATGAGCGAAGGGCGTTCTCGTCGAGGGCCTCTACCATTTTCAGAGCTTGGTCGTACTTGCCCCTCTCGGTGAGGTGCATGGCAACACGGGCGGTGACCTTCAGCTCGTCATCGAAACTGGTGTGCCCGATGTGACAACGGAGGAAAATCTCGCTCTCTACGGCAGACAGATGGGCGAGGCCGAGACGTTCCCACAGGGCCATAGCCATGGTTAACTGAGCGCCGTACAAATTTTTCAGGTTGCGCGTGACGATGAGTTGGGAACTGCGGACCAGCATTTCCACGCAGCTGGCTACGCTTTCTCCGTCGCAGAAGCCCAGTTTGGCCTCACTCAGCAAGACGGAGCTCCATAGCGGCCACATGCCGGTCTCCTTGGCCTTGGCGCGGAGGTAGGCCAGGCTCTCCTTTCCGGACCCGAGCAGACTGTCGGATTCGAGGTCCCGGATCAGTCGGGGATGTGCTCGGCCGAATTGGAACAGCCAATTGAGGGCGAAGTTGAGACACGGCATGTCCTGGTTCTCACGGGCGGTGGACACGGTCTCCAACATGGTCTCTAACGCATCCTTGTGAGAGCCGAAGTCGGCTTGGATGATAGCCAAGTTCATAAGCGCATACTGGTAGTAAAGACGCTCGCGACTCTGCATGGTGTAGTCAAAGTAGCGATGTAGATAATCGAAGGCAGTAGGATGGTCGCCTGATTTCCACGCGTCGAGGAAGCTACAAACGGTCAGCCGGATGGAGACGGAAGAGCGGTGGAGGGCGGTGGGGGGCGGTGGAATGGACAGGAAAAAAAGAAGAAAAAAAAAGGGGGGGGGCGGGGGTTGGAGGGCGTTGCGAACCTTAGGTAGTGACTCAAGGTTGGAATTACTCGACTGTCTTGGAGGAGACGCTGAAAGCGAACTCGGACGTCGAGAGGAACTCGATTTCCATGTGCTTGGGGGCAGGGAAATTGTCAGCTGGGAGAGTTGTGGTGGCAACTATGAGGCGAGAGGCGCGGGAAAGAGTTTGGGCATGGGTGACGAAAACGTACTCTGCATCTTGTCGATTTGAAATTCGAGAAGGAACTCCACATCGTCGGTACTAACGGGCAGACTGGAGGAAGAGTTGCTGGTGAGGGAGTCGCCGTAGGTAATGGAAGCGAGGACGTTGACAGCTTCGACATCCCAATCGGCCTGCTCACCTGCGTCGAGGACGTAATCGAAGCTCATGCGGCCCATGGAAGGGCTCCTTCGCTGACGGTGGCCGAGAGTAGGCTGCCTGTAGCTGACAAAGTCCTTCCACAGCTCGACGGAGTCTTCGAAGCGCAGGCGGGTGAACTCGAGCTGGCAGCGTCTGATAAAGGTGCCAAAGGGGGAGTTGCGGGAGATGCGGATGCCTTGCAGTTCGGCTTCGGTAAGACCTAAGCGGCGCAGCTGTTCGCTGGGCATGACGAGATTGTGAGATTGGCGATCGAAGAAATCATGGAGCTGGTGGAGGGAGTTGACATCCCAGAGCTTTTCCAGGAAGATATCCCATAGCTTCCTTCCTGGCAAGCCGACAACGACGGGGTAAGCGGCAAGAAGGGATTCGAAATCGTTTATGGACGTGACCAGACTGACCCTCCTCTCAGCGTTGGTCCACCGGGACTGGGGAGAGGAGGAGCAGCTGGGTGCCAAGACTGTGGGTTCGCGATCGAGGAGACTTGAGGTGATGAAGGAAAGAACGGGTATTATAGCAGAAGTGGGGACGAGTTCATCCACATAGAGCTCGACGAGGGCGAGTAGGCCAATCTTGGCTGGAGTCAAGAAGCGGCCCATGTTTGTGGTAAAGGTGAAAGAACCGGAATATAGACGGTTATGTGAAGTAATGAAGATGGGGATGTTCGGCCATATTGACCCAGGCGTGTTAGCGTTGGATGGATCGAGTTGATCGACGCGTGTGAATTGTGATATCAAAGAGAGAGGGAGAGCCTAGAGGGACGGTAAAGAGGTGCAAGGTGTTGATATAAGGTAGGTAAGGTAAAAAGGGCAGTTAATAAGGTAGTGCTCTGGGAGAAGGCAAGCTCCAGGTGGTCCTGACGTGGTAAGCAAGCCTAAGGTTAGGTACCTTATGTTTTTATCCCAGTCCTTGTACTTGGGATTTGGCAGGATCGCGGCATGTGCCTGCTGTGGCTGTTTATTACAGCTTCAACGGCTGGCTTGTTGGGGAAAGACGATTATGTAACCTTGTATTGTTCGTCCCGTCTGGTTTAGGAAGTCTTATTAAGATAGCCGCAAGTCCATTCCCCGAGGTAGGTGCTTACATAAACGAACATTAATTCAATAATAATTGAAGGTACAGTAAAGTACACGTGTAGCTTCTGATGGTTTATAACAATATTGCCTTTCCGGGGTGTGTCTTTTCAAATCGGACCACGGACCGATCAACCACAACCCAACGTTTGGCACGCTGCTATCCAAACCACCATCTGATTTAGCTCGACTTTCGACGGCTATTCTTGGCGCCAATGGTCCCTCATTTGCCCGTCACGATGGACTACGATGGCCATGACATAATAGCCGTCAACTCGAAATGGTATCTCAGACAAAAGACTTGTCCGCCGGCAGTTCCGCTGCTGGACCGGTTCGACACCGTCCTGAGATGCCAAGGGGAACTAACTAATACAGAAGGAATTTTGTTCGAGTTTGATTTTCGGGTCCGGACGACTTACAAAGCTGTGGATTTCACACAGATCAACTTGGTTCAAGTCTTCTCCATCTTTGCCTCCAGCCAGGAACTCCTGTGACAACCACCACGGACACTGAAAGCCTCCTCAAGACGCCAAGGCGGAGAAGCGGAGAACCACAACGCATAACCGGGGTATCATCACGCAGCAGCACGACATCAGATCATTCATGTACGTACAATGTACAACATGCATGTCCAAATGGGTTTCACACATTCAGGGGATCGCGGGGCAGAGGAGGCAGCAAGAAAAAACACGAGGCACGAGGCACGAGGCACATCAGGCGAAAGAGGGAGTGGGATCCTCAGTGGGGTAGACAGCCGGGAAAATGCACTGGATAAATAGGGAGAATTGTGGGTGGACTCAAGTGGACTCAATCTTCCCCCATATTTTCCTTTCCATTTCCCCTTTTTACCTATTCCCACCTCCGACGTGCCCCTCCACACCCTCATGGTGCCTCACAGGACCTGCAGTTATCATTACTCCAAAACATACGGATAACATCACTAATATGCGGTGCCGTGGAGGCTAAAAGGGCGGGAGTAACGGGGAAGACCATTAGGCACAGAGACGAGTAGCTTGTTGGTAACCATGATGCCTTTGTAATTTGGTGAAACCGAGTTGCGATTCAAGGGCAAAATATGCATGTCGATTCAGCTTTAAATATCCGCGACCCCTCCCCCGCCTCCCACTTTGGCGGGGTGACGAAGGGGTGTCATCTAGGTAGGTACGTTGTATTCTTGTATTCTATTTCTCTTGACACCCCGCCTCCTCCATCCACACGTCGTCCCTTCGTCCATCCTCCTTACCCACCTGCCTACTTCTCTCCCCCTACTTATACTTCCTGTTCCTTCTCACTTTTGTCCCTCGATACCCCTTTTTGTCCTTCTTCTCTTCCAACCCCCCCCCCCCCCCCCCCCCCCCCCCCCCCCCCCCCCCCCCCCCCTTCCCCCCCAACATCCAACAGAACTGCCGCCCAATATGCCTCCCCTGATCACAACCATCTACACTGCCGACCCCTCGGCTCACGTCTTCGAGGGCAAGGTCTACATCTACCCGTCTCATGACCGTGAGACCGACATCAAGTTCAACGACAATGGCGACCAGTATGACATGGCCGACTACCACGTCTTCAGCACCTCCTCCCTAGACCCCGCAGAGACCCCGACCGACCACGGCGTCGTCCTCAAGACCGAGGACGTCCCCTGGGTCTCCAAGCAGCTCTGGGCCCCCGACGCCGCCTTCAAGGACGGCAAGTACTACCTGTTCTTCCCCGCCCGCGACAAGCAGGGCATCTTCCGCATCGGCGTCGCCGTCGGCGACCGCCCCTACGGCCCCTTCCAGGCCGAGCCCGAACCCATCAAGGGCTCCTACTCCATCGACCCGGCCAGCTACGTCGACGACGACGGCCAGGCCTACCTCTACTTCGGCGGCCTCTGGGGCGGCCAGCTGCAGTGCTACCAGAAGGGCAACGACCTCTTCGACCCGGCGTGGTCCGGCCCCAAGGAGCCCTCGGGCGAGGGCGTCTACGCCATGGGGCCCCGCGCCGCCAAGCTCACCGACGACATGAAGGAGTTCGCCGCCGACGTCCAGGAGATCCAGATCCTCGACCCGGACACCCAGAAGCCCATCCTCGCCGACGACCACGACCGCCGCTTCTTCGAGGCCGCCTGGGTCCACAAGCGCAACGGCACCTACTACTTCTCCTACTCCACCGGCGACACCCACTACCTCTGCTACGCCACCAGCGACAATCCCCTCGGCCCCTTCACCTACGGCGGCCGCATCCTCGAGCCCGTCCTCGGCTGGACCACCCACCACTCCATCGTCGAGTTCCAGGGCCGCTGGTGGCTGTTCCACCACGACTGCGAGCTCAGCGGTGGTGTGGACCACCTGCGTTCCGTCAAGGTGAAGGAGATCTTCCATGACAAGGACGGCAAGATTGTTACCGAGAAGCCCGAATAAACAAAAGCATGGATGAATGGGCTACAAAGGGGAGGAGATGAAAACAAAACAACAAAAAAAATTAATTATGAATTCACTGATTCCAAAAATTGATGATGCTTATGATACTGATTTGTCCCGCATGTCCCTGCCCCTTCTCGTGTATACACCTTCAGAGCGGCATCTGTATGGTGTTAGTTGCCTTGTGTGTGTTTATACCGTCTCTGTCTCCCCTGCTTTCTACCTAGGTATGTGTCTGGAAGACCGCTCCACCTGATACCGTCATGCCCAGACACCGAGTTGAACACAATATGCCCCCAAGCTTCCTAAGCATTGGTGGGGAAGGTCTTCCCCGTAGTTCACCTCGTATGACGGCCAACTATCCGAATATGTTCATTTTGTCTCATTACTATTTCATATGTCATGTTCCCAATATAGGGATTGATGGCGTATTCCATGTAACCCAGAACCCGCCCCAGCTGAAGCGACCCTTTACACCTGGTTGAATCGACCCACTGTAGTGCTGCTCTATTGTCGTAATTCCCGTCCGGTCTCAACGCTTGACATTCCCCATCTGACTCCCCTGCTCCTCCAGCTTCTCCTCCTCTTCCATCTCCAACTCGCCGTTATCAAACCACCCCGAAAAATCCTCATCGTCGTCGGCTTCCTGAGCCCCCTGGCGGGCCGGCCGCGCCTGTATGGAACTCTCCTCCTTGCCCAATCCCGGACTGTCCTTGTCTGAGCGCACCGAGTCTGCCCATGCATTCGCTTCGTTTCCTTCCAGAGACGCAAGACGGCGGGTGAGGGAAGAATCTAGACTGCTCGGATCGACGCCTGCTCGGTCCTCGGCCCACGGCTGCCCGTGACCCGACTCCTCGTAGCCCCTCAAGACCTCCTCTTCCATCGGTGTCGACGGCTCGGACCCAACCGGCGCAGCGATGATGAGCACATCGTTGCCATTACCCCTCTCATCCCCGCCCCCGCCCCCACCCCTATCCCTCAACCTCCGGGCTGGCAACGGCGGCGTCGGTACCGGTTTGCGTTCTGCTTTCCCGTCCCCGCTCTCGTTTTCTTCACAGAGCTGCGTTTCCTGCCACCTTTCTGGTGCCTGCGACGGCGACGGCGACGGCGGTACGGGTTTATGCTTGGGTGGTACGGGGATCGTGGTAACCTTCGAGTTCTTATCCGGTTTGGGGAGCGGCGTTCCTGGCGGAGGGAGCGGTTGGCCCCGTCCCATAGGCTTACTCAAGTCCAAGGGGGGTGGTGGCGACGACTCGCCGAACGAGCCGATCCTCCCTTCTTTCTGTCGCTGCAGTGCGTTCCAGCCCCACTGGCGCGCCTGTGTCGCCGCGCTCGCCATGGCGGAGAGCGTAGTCCGCTTGTGGCTCGAATCGCTGTTGGACTGTCCGCTTGACTGCGAGTCGCCCGTGGTTTCCCGCCGAGCAAATAGACCCCTGGTTATAGCGCTTGCGTTGCTCTTTATCGACCCTGTGTTGCTCCTTAGCGAGTGCCTGAGAGACGGCGACGGAGGCGCCGATGTATTGGTACCGTCGTCCTGGAAAGCAGAGTCCGTTGATGAAGCAGTATTGCGCCGATTCGAGGCGACAGTTGTCCCTTCGACTTCCTTCTCGCTATCCGCTGTTTCCTGGGACGAAGAGGTGGACCGAAAAGACTGACTTGGGCCCTGTGACACGGACGCTGGGCGGGCGGGAGAATCGAGCGGAGTGTCCACAGCGGACGCTGGTTGTGACCAAGCCGATAGAGCCGCCATCATGCTCGATGCATGGTCCGGTGGTGATGATGACGGTTTGAAAACGTCGGCGTGCGTGGGATCGGTGCGTATTACAGGATCTGAAGGGCTCGACATGGAGCCAGGTCGTAATGTCCTCGGGAGAGAGGCCGAAGGACCCGATGTCTGGGTGTCAGCACCAGTCGTGGTCCCCGTCAGGGTACTCGCAGATGACTTTTTGGCCAACTTCCTTCCAAGCAAGCCCGTGGGAGCCGCGTTATCGGCGAGAGGTTCGCTGATGCTCTTCTCGATGGGTCGCAGTTCCGCTTGGACCTCTCCTGCCTCTCCTGACCTCTCAAGACGGTCCACAGCGTCAACATCTCCTCCCTGCGCGATGGTGGCCTCTATCCTAGAGGAGGTAACAACAGCGTCGTCGCCTTCCCAGATGCCGCCACGCCATTTCTTGTGCTCCGTGTTGGAAAAGGGTATGTCGTCCCAAAAGGGCTGGACTAGCGTCTCGGCGATGACTTCTTTAATCCGGTTCTCGATTTGCCGGAGGATAAGGGTGTATGTAATCTGTCGAGAGCTGACAATGGGTTCAATCGTCATCTCCATCTTGGGCATGGTCTGGAACGAGAACCAGATCCTGTTGCTCGGCGGTGGCTTGATCTTGAATATGACGTGACCTTCCAGTTTCCTCAGCACGACGGCTAGGACCAGGTTGACCTCGCGAGCCTTGAATCGGGTCCCAAGATCGAGTCGCGCCGTGGCAGCCACTTCCAGTCGGAAGTTACCCGTGTACTTCACATCTCCCTCCATGGCGCACTCTCCTTCGACGCTGAGCTCTTTATGTCGAGGGTTCAGGAGAATCGGAGCCGAGTCGCCCGTATCGATCTTTCGAATAACGATGTTGGTGAGGAAAGACGGCCGCTTCACACGGGAGATCTTTTTGGTGAGCTTCTCTCGAATGAAGTGTTCGAGGTCGGCCGTCCTGTATAACGCCAGGAACACACGACCGATCATGGCATTTAACCACCTCGTCGGGACCTGGTCTTCGGAGGAGTGGAGTCTCTGGACGAGAGAGATGATATTCTTTACCTCGAATTGACGAGGCTTGGGTGTTGTCTTATCAACGTCGAAGTATTGTTCTTGATTCCGGATGAGGGCGAAGTAGAAATCCTCTTTAGCCGAGCTATCTTCGGAGAACAGATAGAAAGGCTTGGAAAGCTGGCCATCAGGGCCAGTGTCCGTTCCATCCTGGCGTCTCGACAAGCAGAGGGCATTCTTCTTGATGAAAAGCTCGCCTTCGGGTGTAATGTCTCCTCCGGAGTAAATGCTAATATCGTGGTGGGCTAGGGAAACGACGTGTCGGACTTCGAGCTGTTCCTCGTCGTCGAAGAGCATGAGATGACCGTGCCTGTTGTGGTGGGGGAAGCAAAAAGGTCAGCACATCTGCCGAGCAAAAAGCCTGTTTCCAAGGCAGGCAAACAAATGAGGAAGAAGAAGAAGAAGAAGAAGACGATGTGAAGACCAAACGAACCTGAGAACGACGTAGAAGACATTGCCTGCATTCTTCGGTCTTTGGCTAATGGCGTTCTTGTTGTCCAAGGGCCCTTGCGGCTGTTTCCTGTCGAAGATGCTGCGATACATGGTCTGGTAGACGCTCTGGCTCGGGGCCGCCACCGTGGTCGACCCGACAGGCGTGGCCCGTTCGATGGGTTTCGCGTTGATACCCATGGGCACGTACTCTCTGCAGACGGCGAAGTATCCGGCGGCCACCTCGCTCTCCTGGGTCGAGCGTGACCGGAGGCTGCCAGCCTCTTCCTTCAGGGCGCCCGTGCTCCTTGCATCCTCGAGAGGGGCCAGGTCATCTCCAGGCTGTACGATGCTCTCGGAGTACTCGTCGTGGGTCTCGGTGCCTCCGCTATGCTCTCGGTAGGGGAGAGAGAAGTGGGCGTGCGCGAGGAAGGCGAGGAGGGCGAGAGGGATGAAGGTCAGCCCGCCGAGGAGGTAGGCGAACAAGAACACGGCCCAGCTGCCCATCTCTCTTTCCTCCCCTCCCCAATGATCGGCCGCGAGCACGGAGAGAGAGAGAGAGAGAGAGAGAGAGAGAGAGAGAGAGAGAGAGAGAAGACCGTGAGAGAGAGGAGAATGATGGTTTCTAACTGCTCAAAAGAGATAGTAGCCCGTATCTATTGAATGGATGGAATCGGTGCATGGAGTAACTTTCAACCCTCCCTTCTGAGAAGACAGTAAGCGAAACCGATACCGATACCGATTGGCATGAACCATGGAATGAGGTACCCAGCTCTGGTCGTCTTGTATCTGGTACAGAGCGGTGAAACAGGGCACGAGGATAATTGGAGATAGGTACACAGGTAAGATGGCTTGGCGGTACGGAGGTTGAATTCTTGTGTTCCTGGCCTCGCGTACGTACTCCGTACTTTGTACAATTGAGGGCAACAAGAGGGACGGACAAAGGCTACGGGATCGTTACGTCAAGGTCCATGTGTTAACTATGGGGGTTCAACTTTACCCAATAGAGAGCTCTGACGTCGTCATGTGATCCCTGTCACAAACCCCGAGAAGACCTTGGTAGAATTTCTGTACTCCGTTGGATTTAGTGCGTATTCGTACTGGGTAAGGTACGTACCGTACATAGCTTCAACGCGGTAATAGTGGGTACCTCCATGTACTGACCGATGTGCTTACGATGTAATTATACCTACCCCAGCGCGGGGAGGAGGCCGAGCTATCCGGGGGTGGAGCTCTTCAAACAATTCAGTCTTCTCCGGAATAATATCATGAACAGTTGTCAAGTTCGACAGAACTAGGTAGGCTTGAATCCGATGCAAATGCCGACCGGCCCTGACCACCCTCGGAACCTCTTGCTTAAAGTCGTGTTGACTGTCCAGAACTCGGAGACGCGCAACAAGGCCGAGGGTTCGGAGAGGACGAAGAAATAGTCAAGAAGAGAAGATCCGGAGATCTCGAAACAAAACAAGAAACAATTAAGAAGAAAAGAACAAGATGATGGATTGAGAGGACGAGGACGAATACCCCATGCATTACATATATCGAACAAGGTCCATTTGGGTCATTCCCCCAGCCTTTCCCTTCTTCCCCGGGTTCATATTCCTCCCCTGAGCCTGCACCGGCAACACTCTGCAACAGTACACAGCCGAGGCAGGGCAATTTTGTTTACATGTAATCCAGAAAAACACAGGGTCCATGGCTTGAGAGGGGAAGGCGACGGTGCATGCAAGCGGTTCATCGTAGAAAAGAAAATATCGTGTTTTTTTAGTGTCGTAGGCCCGGCGGCCTGTGTGGTTGAGTCGCAAAGTTGTGCGCAAAAGATTGGCTTCAAGGAAATTGGCCTTGATGACAGAAGGAAAACAATAAACAGACAGCTAGGGAAGAAGAAAAATCGTCTGAGTCATGGAGATCGTCGCGTGCAGGCGATGTGTCGTAAAAGAGAATGAATTTCCGAGTCCAAAACGGGTCTGGGATAGTGAGCGACGAGAAAGAAATTATCACCGTTCCGAGGGAAGGTGTGTTAGGAATATACAGATGGGTTGCTGGAAGGTAGGCTTCAACTCAGGCCCGGGACAGCATCGTGCTCATCGGTGTCGGCGTCCCAGTCGCTGTCGACGTCGAAGGTCCGGAATGCGAATGCGAATGGGAATGCGAATGGGAATGCGAATGGGAATGCGAATAAGACGGCCTCCCGCGCTTGGAATAAGACGGGTGGTGAGGAAGTGTTGAAACATCGTGCTTGCCTGGAAGACGCCAGAGTCAGTCAATCCGCTCTTAACGCCTAATTATTGGGGGATTCGAGAAAGAGAATGACAAACTCACCGTCGCAGCAAGCCCGAACATTCTCAAGTCGGCCGGCTTCTCGATTCAGACGCTCCATCTCTTGTTCATCTTCGCCACTGTCCTGGACCTCGCTCGCCTCATAGATGTCATGGTTGTTATGGCTCGCGTTGCGGCTTCGGAGGCTGGAAAAGGTGCCCGAGAGGACTTGGTTGCTCTTCCAGTAGCCGCTAAGTTTAGACAACGTTCCCAAGGACGGCCGTTGGCTAGGACCATTCTTATTCGGAGTCGGCGTCAGGCGGGGCACGTTCATCGACATGTCTATGGCCGGCGACTGATTCTGGGTGGTCCGAGAATTGTAGGATGAGAGCGAAGCCGGGGCCCTTGGTCTCGCCGTGAATGCAGAAGCTTCAGCGCCAACTTGCGGGTTGAACTCGTCAACGTCTGCCTGTGTGATATTACCAGCGATTTCCTCCGCATCGTTCTGGCCTTCCTCGTTGGTCCGGAGCAGCAGGTACGAAAGGGCATTGAACCACGTCTCGTGCCGTTGCCCGGTGGGACATGTAAACTTGACGACTCGGCCGGGAGAGATGACGATCAAACTCTTCCGGTGCAGCCCGGGCGGTGATGGATTATCGTCAGTGACCACCCGGACAGCCTCGATGGGTACGCTCTTCGCCTTGGCCTCGGACCGACCGACCGCAGTGGGGTCACGGTCGCTCCAGTACAGTGTCCGGGTGTAGGGGTGAACCCAAAAGTAGCGACGGTGTCGGTATTCAGACATGTGCCCGCGCCCGGTTTTGCGCGTGTACTTCCACAGGTACTCCCCAATCATGGTCTGGGTGATGGCTTGGATCATGCGTGGGTCCGTGTTGGGTCCGAACCCATTAGGATTCATTCCCAATCCATTGTCTCGAATATTGAACCGCGAATCCAGCTCGGAGACGAAGGAAGAGACAGAAGAACGCCGGCTCCGCGTCGAGGCTTTGGTGGGGGAATGGACTATCACAGTCCCTGGGCCCGATATGCCGACCCTAGGCTTGCTGGCTCGCGGCGTCGGTGTCCCCTTGATGGAAAGTGGTGACTGTGGCCTGTTGGGAGTGCGAGGTCGTTGGGCTCGCATGGCCGACGCAGGCCACAGTGGAGGGCCCATGACGGTCGTGCTGCCGTGGTTGCTGTGCGCAGACCCAGTCCTTGCGGCTGCAATGACTTGCTTATGATTCTGGGGCAATGGCGGCAGTCGGTCAGTCGGACCGCGGCTGCTGCTTGCGCTCCGCCGCCGTCGGTCCATGATGACATCGGGTTGAGGCTCAGTGGAGACGTCCCCAGGGGTACCAATACTGTCCTGGTCCTGGGAGAGCCGGCGAATCCGAACTGTGCCGGGTGTTCCCACGCTACTTCCAGCGGAGAGCGACTTTTCATGCCCCTTGGTCTTCGCCTTGAACAACTCATCGAGAGCGTGCGCTGTGAGCAATGTCTGTGCGGAATGGTCAAGCATCGGAACACCTCGCTTTGGCATAGCTCGTGAAGCCGAATTGGGTGAAATTTCCTTGAATGGTTGTTGTGACTCTGTGCCTTCAGACTGCTTGAGATCGCTAGGTGATTGACGAGTCTCATCTTCAGCAATAAGCACGTCCGGAAGATCGTCGTCCTTGCCCTTGCCGCGGCGTGCCACTGAACCTAACAGGGCGTTATCAGGAGTTCTGGGTCGAATCATCTCGGTCAAGGCAGAGTCGAGGCTTCTTGGAATGATGAAGGCATCCCGCTTCGGGCTCCGTGGCGCAACAGGCTCCGTTTCGATGGAATCAATGGACGAGAAGGTAAATTGTGGGACTGGTAGACTGGGCATCGGCGGGCTAACTGGTTCTAAATCTTCGGACATCACGGGCGACAAAGTCAGAGAAGAAGGAGTAGGTTCGGGATCAAGACGTGGCTCGATATCCCATGTCTGAACACCGGCGAAAGTCAAAGACACAGGTTGAGGCTCGAGGTCAGCCCGAGGCTCCACCTGCTCGGAGTGTAGGATCGAAAGGGCGAGAGCGGGAGGGACTGGCGCAGGAGGCTCTGGCTCCGCTTGAGGCTCAACCTCCAGAGCCGTCAAGGGTGTGAAGCGCAGCTCCGGCGCAGGAAGCTTGAGCTCTGGTTCGGCCCTAGGTTCAAGATCGTGGGCAGATAGAGGAGACAGTGTCAGCACCGCCGGAGGAGGCAATGGCGCCTCGGGCTCCACTTGTGGCTCTAGGCCCTCTGCTATCGGGGAGGAGAGCACCAGTTCCGGAGCTGGATGCGACGCGTGTTCTGGCTCCACTCTCGGTTCCGTTGTTTCGGAGATGACCGGTGCGAAAGACAACACAGGGGGAGGAGCCATGATCTCTGGATCGGCTTTAGGCTCGATGGGCTCGGAAACAAGGGGTGAGAAGCCCAACACCAGAACGGCTTCAGGTTCAGATTTCGGCTCCACATGCTCCGATGCGATGGTTGACAGGCTAAGAATCGGTGCCGGAGGCGGTGGCACTTCGGGCTCCGCCACAGGCTCGACATCCTGCGATTCGACGGCGGCGGTGAGGGTTAGGGCCGGTGGGGTCAGAGGTTCCTCCTGGGGCTCTTCGACGGGCTCAACAGCTTGGTTCTCGATCGGTGCAAACACGAGAGTCGGCGGAGGAACCTCGACGACAATATCAGTCGCGGACGGAGGCAAAGGGAACTGGGCAAGCTTTTCGGCCATGTCTGCGTCATACTGCGCTCCAGCGTCACTGTAGGACAGCATGGAATGCGGGCGAGACTGCGATGCATCATTCGGCAAGGAATCCCCGTGGACAGATAGGTGAGCAATGGCAGGCAGTGGCAGCTCTGATGAGTCTGTCATGACACCGCAGTCTACCATGACGGGCTTGGCAGAATCCGGCTGGGAGCCGTCTTCCGACGCGGATGATGCCAGGCTCTTTTTGACAGGATCGGTCATGATGCCGCTATCCACCATGACAAGCTCGGGCAGAGGAGGAACAGGGGGCACGGAGGTCATGCGGCTCCTGGCGACGGAGGCTGGCGTAATGGACCGCACGCTGCGGCTGGGCGTCGCATCAAGAGACTCAACGTCGCTCCCTTCTAGCTCGGCGAGTTCAGCAAACAGACTCTGAGCTGGCTGTTGAGGAGTCCCAGCGGTGCTGCTTGTCGCGCGGCTCATGGGGCTGCTCTGAAGTGCCGGCTCTTCACTGGGCTGCCTAGAACGTCGAGTCAAGAAGCCTCGGCTCGATCTGAGTCGCATTCGTTGTTGCGGGTGTGCAATAGGCGTCTTGAGCTCGAATTCGTCAAAATCTTCGTCGGCTGAAGTCGAAGCCGTGCTATCGAACGAGTTCCTGCTGCCAATGAGGTTGAGGCTTGGGGGCCGAACCCTTCCCCTGTTCTTGGATGGGCTCTCCGTCTCCGTCTCCGCGTCATCGTCCTCCTCGGAAAATTCTTCGGCGCCCGTTTGGAAATCCTCCGTCTCGGTGCCTCGCTCGTTGGCCGTCTCGAAGGCGGCGTCGCTGGTCTCATTATCAGTGGTCATCGGATACGCGCCTGGCCCAGTTACGAGGGAAGGTGGGATCGCATAAGTAGGGGAGTGCCTTGGGGTGGCGCTGTCGGGCTGTTCCTCCCAGTCGGGGTCTTCCACGAACACTTCGCTCTTGGCGGAGCGTGATCCTCCGAGCAAGTTTTTGGCGGGCTTCTTGAACTCCTTCGAGTCTATCTTACGACCGCGGCGGTTCGAGACGCCACCTGAATCACTGCGCAGTTTCTCGAGCTCGTCCCGGCTATCCTGCAGGAGCCGCCTAAGCTCCAACTTTTCAGTCTTTTCGCGGTGCAGCTGGGATCGCTGGGTCTGAATGGTGCGCTGGGCGTGGAGTAGAGATGTCTTGAGGGTCTCTGATTCGAGGAAGGAGTGTCGGGGCGTGCCTTTGATAGGAGACGCCGGCGGCGAGTGTTCGGGAGTGGCGTTGTCGGTAGCCGTTTCGAATTCGTCGTCGCTCGTACCTCTATTCGATTCGCGTTCGAGCGCTCGCGCACGTTGTGCGGAGATTGCCTTGGCGAGCTCTTGGTTCTGCCCCATGAGGTCGTCAATCTTGCGTTGGAGGGTAGCCCGCTCCGCCTCGGCGAGAATAGCATTCCGCTTGGCTGTACCCAGCTCAATGTCGTGATGCTTCACCGAAGCCTCGTGTTCCTCCACCAACCTGGCATGAGACAACTTGACCTCATCCAACTCTTTCTGGGTTTGGTTCTTCTGGGCTTGCAGGATATTCAGGCTCTGGGTTAGCTTCTTCTCGCGGTCGGCGCTTTCCTTCTGGGAAGCAATGAGTTCGTGGATCTGGGTCTCGAGGTTCCAGTTCTCGTCTTTGTAGCGGTGCTCGCTCTCATCCAGGGTCTTGACCCGTTGCTGAAAACCCTCTGCCTCGATTTCCAGTCTTGACTTCTCGGTCTTGACATCTCGAAGCTCCTCGTCTTTTTCGGCTAGTAGAGACTGCAGATTGCGAACTTGGGCGAGCAAAGAGGTGCTGATTTCGGCGGCAAATTCTATGTCGTGGACCCGGGTGGCCGGCTGATTACGAATCTTTCGGTTCGGGACGCTGAGCTTGGTCGGAGAGCCGGTGGCGTGGCTCTCAAATTTCGAGGGACTGACGGACCGCTATAACCGGAGGGTTAGCCTGTCTCTGCTGGGCAAATTTACTTGGGCCAGGTGGCCCGGTCAGCGGATGGAGCCAACTACTTACTTTTCCACTTCGACCTTCAGGCACGTAGGGCGAGCCTCCAGCGGCTTCGTTACTGGGAACTCGCTGCTTGGGAAGGAAGGCCCTGGCCGTCTCGCGTGCAACGTCGTGGTATTCCTTTTCGATCTCGGATAGCTTCAGGCGAAGCTCTGGGTTGAGGTCGCCTTCGGCCTGTAGCTTTTCAACCTCGCGAAGGCGCTCGGCCAAGGTTTTCTGTTGGTCAACCAACGCTGTTCCCAGCTTTCCCACTTCCTCCATACGGCGTTCGGTTTCGGCAAGGTGGGCTTCCAAGGCACGTTTTGCCTGGCCTGGTGATGTGGTAGGGCCCAGTGCGTAGAGCTGGTTGTCGAAGTTGGAGAAGCGAATTTGCTTGGGGCCGACGGTAGAGACGAAGGGGTCGTTCGACCCATCGCCATCACCCGGGGGCAGGACAGGCCGGCCCGCGAATGACGAGGCCGCCATGATCAGGGGCCCGAGAGAAGTTCGAATCGTCACAAGCCTAGGGGATCATACAGTGCAAAAAAGATGAATGTCTGACGATGTGATAGGCGCAGTGATGCCAGTTATTCGTGGTTCGTTGGGCGACAGATCGGAGGCCGATAACACTGTTCGGGCTGGTATGAAGAACGCCTAGGAGTTGGGTATAAATCTCGCAGGTATTACGTAGCTGGAGGACGAAGACGGTAGAATACGAAGTGGCAGGCCCCGCTGCAGGCTGGGTAGACGCGAGGCGACGAACAGGGACAAAAAGCGCAACGAGTGATTGGCCGAAAATCGCAGAAAGGAACAGCTGGTCAAAGAGCGTAGGGAGATGAGACAAGTTGAGGAAAAATCAGTCGTCGGTTGGGAAAAGCCGTAAGAATTAAAAAGCCGGTCAGCGAGAAGTGTCCGTTTTTACGTCGATTTAGTTGGAATGCGAAAGCCCAGAGAAGGGGCGGGCCAAAAATGCGTTACGCGTTAACGAAAGGAGTCCGATGTGGGATGCCACAGAGCAGGTTATTGTTGTCGTTCCAGACTCGGCTCTTCTCCCTCGACACGTCGTCAGTTAGGGCGCAAGAGTGCGGTGCGGTAACCGATCGCAATGGTTCGTTGTTTCTTTCGCTGAGGCGTAGGCGGAACGCGGAAGGCGGGGAAAGTAGTAGTTCGGACGTGGGAAGGAGAACCACCAAATTCACCCCAGGATAAACGGAAGCAGGGGCCACTGCACTGGAGTGAAGCGACACAATGTTATTATTAGGGAGGCTATCCAGACCTTGAATGAAGTGTCGGCTGGCGGACCAAATGAAATGAAATGAAGAAAAAAAAAATTGAAAAATAAGGGCGGGCAAAGAGAGACAAGAACGAAGAGAGAAGAAAAGGACGGCGCGAGGGTAAGTAGACAGGAATTCGCTATTCGGGTTGAAGAAGGGAGTGTGTGCAGTTCCTCGAAAAGTGCAAAACGCTTACGAAAAGTCAGGACAGACAAGACACCGTGGAGATGTCTTGTCTTTTCTGAATCTCGTTTCTCGTTTCTGGGCTGTCGACTCTCCCTCCGCGTCGGTCGATACTTGTCTCGCTGGCGACGATGGGCGGCGGACGGAGGGGTAGGGAGAGAAGGGGGGAGAAGGGAGGAAGGGTTAACGAAAGGGAACAAAAAGTAAAAAAAGGAAAAAGAAGGCCCGGTGTAATGGTGGTAGACGGAGGAGAGTAGAAGAGGGATCGGGAGGGGCCCAAGGGAGGAGAGAAAAAGGAAAGTAGAAGGACACGAAAGATGGGGGAGATTGACGATGTTGACTGGTCAGGAACCCCGGTCAAGCAAGCACGGGCAGGTACAGGCACGGGTAGGTACTAATTACTTGGTAGAGGGAAAGGTGTCCACCTTGGTTAAGGTACTTACTTGGTCACAAAAATGGTCAACCGCTCCACGGGGCGGGCAGCTTTCGCGGGCGACCCACGAAGTACTTCATACAAAGCATGACCTAATTGGACCTGCATGCAACGAAGTACCGTAGGACTTGTAATTTGATGGATTTTCGATTTTCATGCTCTACGCCGAACACGGCTCGCAAAGACCGCGCTGTTGTATAATGGTGTGAAACACGCCGACCACTCTCCCAGCTTACCATTTCCACCACACATGTTCGACATTCAAAGCGCTTAATGGCTCCGTGCTCTGTATTACCTCTTAGAAGGTCGACGAATCAACAGTCGTAGACAGGATGATGACATATTCGTATCAGACGGAGCACAGTGATGCTCTACCGGGGGATTTCTCTCCTTCTAGCACGTCAAGTATAATGCTATTGGGGGCGGAGAAGACTGATATCACAGGTTCTCGAGAGAAGGTCCCGAAAGACAGACAATACCGGCTTTACATTGTAAGACTTGACCGCCTCCCGATGGTTTGAGACACCGTATCATATCCGCATCTTCCTCGAGTCCGGTGAACTGGACTACAGAACCACAGATACGGACTAGTCCGGCCTGTCTTGCAAAAGAAGAAAAATGTTCCCGTTCCACTATCCCGTAGCTATCGCCCTCTCTACAATGACCACGAAAATATGGCATTACAGCTCATATTCAAAAGTGGAAACGTTGAAAAGAGGAGATCGAGATGCGTACGAGGTACTTCGTACATAGAGATCGATGACACGCAGTTGTTGATCCGACCATGCGAAGAATTTCGAACCAAAATAAACAAAAGGAAACGCGTCCGTTCCCGCCCTGCCCTATCACCCTGGACCCGGTCGCAGGCCCCGATAATCTTAAGGCACTAATATTGTTCTGGCAAGAGACCCCCATCCGGGTGAGTTGCATTGGCGCCTCAATCAGGTACCCGGCCAATCATATGAGGGCACGGATACTGTATAGTACCTCTAACAATAGACCAATGAGGCGGGCCCGGGTGAAGGACAACCACACATAGAGTCTACACTTGTACAGATACGGTTCGGTCAGAATAGGTAGGTACCTTAGGCACAAAAAGTAATACCCAAGGAACAGAAGACACTGTACTTCGTAATGGATTAGAAGGTACCTTTATTATGGAGAGAATACCTTACTCGAACGGGTACGTCAACCACCAAGGTAGTCTGGATACTTTGTGTCGGTATGGAGGACGTTATCTGTGGAGTAGTCAGGACCACGATGCTTCTGACGGATGCCTTGTACTTCTGTGATGAGGTTGGAGATGCTGAAGTTGAATAGCTGCAAGGACTTCACAAATAGTTCAGCTTCCAAAGACACACGTTTAACCAATATCGTCTGCAGAATTTTCGCTCGCTCTCATGACTGTCATGTCTCGTACACCCAAAACGGCCGGCCCCTCCTTTGGTCCGTCCCTGGGCAAAGCACAACCGAACCAAAACACCAAGAAGACTGCCTCCCAAGTGAAAACGCTTCCGCTGTGACCTCGTTCTTCATCTCATCCATCGTCATGTCTCGTATTCCAGGTATTGTTCGCTTCCCCCTTACCACTGCAAAGCCTCCCTCGCTGCATTTGCACCCAACTCCCTAATTACCGGCTCCAACACGCTCTTGCTCGCCCTGAGCCGAGCCCCTTGCTTGACCCGAGAGTAGAATACCGGGCAGTCCTTGCTGTCACACGGCACGTTGTCCAGCGGCGGGAGCCCCGCGCAGCTTCGACAGACCTGTACTACATCCCTCAACTTTTGCTCTTCGCACCGCAGCCGGTCCTGCAGAGCCAGCACGCTCGACGCCGCGTCCTCCCTGCACCGGGAACATAGGACGCCCTCCGTGCCCCGCATCTTGACCTCGCACACCACGCACCATGCCGACTTCATGTAGCTCTCCAGCGTCTTCTTGCCTGGCCCTGGCCCTGGTCCTGGTCCTGGCCCTGATCCTGATCCCTGGTCGCCCCCCGCCTCTTCCCCGCCGACGTGTTCCAGTCGCCGGATGCGCTGCACCTTGGGCATCTCGTCGTACCACTGCCTCACGTTGGCTCCGACCAGGTTGAAGATTCGTTCCAGCGGTGGAATCAGGTTCTTGGAGATGTAGTATTCGGCGTCGAGTCCGCTGTGCGGGTCGTTGAGTAACTCCTCGGGTGCCACGCAGCGGTCTATCAGCCGTGTCCCCGGCGCTCCCGTCACCACCACGTAGGGAACCCGCTCGCCGTACTGAGGCTCGGCCCGCGCGTCTTCCAACATCCGCCGCGCGCTGATGAGAGCCCCAGGCGGCGGTGCGCCTCGGTCGCTGTACGACCCCAACTTGACCTCCTTGGCAAAGCAGAAATCTTGAACCGACACGGCCCCGCGCATAATCTTGTCGCACTGCGCCTGGAAGTACTCCTTGACCTGGCTAAGGTCCGCCGTCTCGAAAAGCAGCTTCAACGCTTTCTCTTCAATCTTCTGCTCCGCGGGCGTGCCGTCCCGTCGGACCGTCTCAATGCCTTTTGCGTCAAACTCGGGTTTCGCCTGGTCCTTGCCCTCGTACTTGTAACCCACGTAACGTTTCTTGGCCAGCAACACGCACGGGTGGTACACCTTTTCGAACTTGAGCTTGACCGGCCGTGGGTTCATATCGGTGATGGCCTTGGCGATCTCATGCCCAATGTCGAAGGCCTGTTCCCGCGTACGGCCCTTCAAGTACACGAACAGGCTGTCCGTGTCGCCGTAGACAACCTCGGCCCCCCACCGCTCCTGGGAGTGTATGAACGCTATGGCCTTCTCCAGCGTTTCCCGCCCTGTCTGCACTATACTGTCCGCAATCTCCGAGCATGGCATGCGCCCCGAGAAAGACGCCGACGTGTATCCGTATGTGACGTTCGCCAGAAGCTTCAGTGCCAGTTGCCTATGATTTAGTAGTTGCTGCAATGCCTTGTCGTCTTTGTCCTCTTTCATCCCGCTCTTCGTCATCACGCGAGTCTCGAGGATCTCCGTGAGCATCCTAGCCAGCAGAGACTTGCGGATTTCCGCCTTCAAGTACATCATCCCGTTGGGGGAGATATTGATATGGTCCTTGAGCAGTTCGAGGATTCGATCATGCCTCTTGTACTCAGTAAACCCCATCTTGTTTGTTCCCCGCCAGTTGACGACACGTCCCAGAAAAGTCGAGTAGCAGATGTTGTACGCAATCATTACGCTGGGATACAGACTCTGAAAATCCAGCACAAGCAGCGGGCTGGAGTAGAAATCGCTCTGCGGCTCCATCACCAGAGGCAGACACTCCAGCGCGTTCTGCCCGCCCACCTGCTTCCGGCTCGGGGACACCAGCATGAAGTTCTCGGGCTTCGCAATTCTGAACATAATCGACTCGACTTTGAACTGGGAGCCGCGAGAGAACACGGAAAAGAAATCTACCCCGAGCAACCGAGCCTGCTCACTCGTCCTTGGTATCAGCTCATTCGACTCCAGAATATCAAGGTCGAGCCGTGTCCTGACAAGGTAGTACCGAACTAGTTTGGCGAGATCCCGGTGCCGCCCGTTCTTGTACCAATCCGTGAGGGTCTCCCAAGAGTAGTGTGGTATCCTCTTATGTAGGAGATGCCATGCCACGTTCTCCATCGTGTATTGGAGTAAATTGAGTTCCCCTCGCATTGCCCTCCAGACGTTGATCATATGCCGGCCAGTGACGCGGATGGTTGACGTCGTGTTGAAGCCCCATCGATCGTTCTCCTTCCCAATCCTTCCGTGCGAATCGGTTCTGACCCTGGAGAACTCATCGCATAGATCAAAGTCGTACTTGACGCGAGCCCGCTCGATTAGGTAACCCCACGAGCTGCCATGGACCTCGTATCCTGTGAGAATGTCGGGATCATGGGTCCTGACGATCTCTACCATCCGGACAATCACGCCCAGCTCGTCAGTCTCCTCGATAACCTCAGCGGACGTCTGACGTCGTATTCTCTCGGCAAGAGTCCCGTCGGGAGAGAAGACCACGACCCCAATGATAACTCCTCCTGCCACATCTTGGCTTGTGCTGATAGTACCGTCCGCCTTGACCGACCAGAAAATGCACTGAACCTCATCGTGGTCAGGATTGGGTACAAATTTTCCCCTAGTGTTCACATGCATCTCCATACTCATCGTACTCATGTACTGGGCTTCGTGTTTGACACTTGTCGACTTCTTTCTTGGGGAATACTTGAACCCATGCTTATGTTTTGGCGTCGGCCCATCAATCTGCGATAAGTACCGTTGGCCGAAGTACGTTCGCCGTGATTGGATTGCCGCGGTGGCTTTCTCCTTCTGTTGCTCCTTTGCCCACCAGTTCTGAACTTCATGGAATGAAGGCGGAGGCTGGGCTATTTCCCAGCTTCGGTAAGAGCAGAGATTTTGTAGGCCGCCGTCTGTATTTCCTTCGACCAGGACACGAGGATAGCAGTCATTCTTCACACCCTTACCGGCTGTAGACATCCCAGTTGGGTCAAAGTGTGGTAAAAACGGAATCGTCTTGCTTTCCAGTCGAAACTCTCTTCCGGCGTATTCGCGCGGCCTCCCAGGAACGTCTTTCTCGTTGCTGTAGTACGCATCTTGAGAGATGACATCGGGGAGGTTGAAATCTTTGAGTGTGGATGAGACTTCCAGGGACGATGGAGGAAGAACAGAGAGTAGAAAAGTCCTACGACTCGAGAAAGCTCCGAGCCTGGCCTTGGCACGATTAAGTCGACTTTCCACACTCGCCGATTGCGAAAGCGGAGTGGCGAGCATGCCCATCACAGTGGGATCCGTCTCCGGTGCCTTTGATTCCGCCATGGGAAGGAGACTGAAAGAGACTGTTTTTGTTGTAACATCGTTTCCTCGCGGCTGAGAATCTTGTTGCTTGTCCTTGTGGCCGAAAAGGCGTTTTATGGGTGGCTCCTCCTGGCTTTTGACAATGGGAAAAGATAGAGTCCGATTGTTCTGGCTCGACTTCGACGCTCCTCTTGCGGCCCCTTTCCTGGCCCGGGATTTCGTTGCTGTTTGAGGGTCTACCCTTTTTGTGCTGGACTGCGACAATGGACAAATGGGTAACGCGTCCTGGGAGCGATGTTCTGTGACTGTCCGTTCTGATGCTGGCTGTTTTCGGCGTTTTGCTGCGGGTTCTAACGTGCCAGCTGGACCAAGCCGTTTTGACGAAGGCCTAGCCACACTGACAGGTTGTGGTTCCTCCTGGTTCCTGGTAAACAGCCCCTCTTCTTGAGCAAAGGCGAGAAGCTCATCATAAGCTGGCACCGATGGATCTTTGCCCGTTACCAGCCGGCTTCTGCAAATGCCTCCGAGTGACAACCACGATGCAGCAGATTTGAAGTCCACCTCGTTGACAACGGTCCCGGATGTGCGACGAGCGGCACCGGATTTCGCAGCCCCTGGGTCTGTCTCGATATTTGACTTCGTCGTGTTGAGGTTGTTCGACTCCAGAGGGTCGTCGCCGGAGTTCCCATCCTGAGCCTTGCAATCAAGAAGCCATTCTGTATCAGAGTCCCCGGGGAATATATCGCCTTCGTCCTGATCAAGAATTCTCTTCTCGTCGACTTCGATGCTACTTGCTGGGTTCTGGCCCAACGCTGCTGTGCTGAGTGACAAGCCCAGCATAGGCAACAAATTCTCGGGGTAGAGATCTTCCACAGACTGAAGAGCGGTCTGAATGTTATCCTCCAAGGGATCCTTTTGGACAAAGGTATCGAATGTCGGGTTGGTCTTTCCATCTGCCGATCGTTCCGCGGCTAAAAGCTTTTCCACTTCTTCGCGATATTCGTCTTCGTGAATCCATCCCTGAGACGACACATTCCGCGTATCTGCGGACATGGATACCAGTGCCTCTGCAGGAAATGGACTACTGCCAAGATCAAAATTCTTCATTCTCATTTTCAGTCGCCTTGTTTCATCTTTCCAGAGGCCGGCCATACTGTGAACAAGTTTCAGACCCGGAGGTAGAGGCCTCAGCCTTTCAATGAAGTCATGGTGTAAGTGACGCTCCTTGACCATTTGTCGATTCACGATATCCTTAACGCAGATGTCGACCTCAATCGAACAATGACTGACTCTAGGAAGCCTAATGTCCTCAGTGACGTAGGTTTGAGGGATGGACCGGTTGTGCCAGAGATGCTGCGAATTTCCGTGCTCGGAATAGACAGGAACTGGAGCTCGGAAGATAGTTTTTGATGCCGTGAGGTAGTCGCAGCCGTACAGGTTGTAGTCTACCATGAACTGCAAGAGGTATTGCAGATGGGCCTCATAAGGCTGGAACTGCCTCTGCATGATGACACCCTGTTGCAGTAAGTCTGCTAGGCGCGTCATGACAATTGGGTTGAATACATAGATCTTGAGAAAGAATCTATAGCCGACATGAAAGCCATAGAAGGGAATGCCTTTGACAAGAGTTATCCGGGCAACGAACTTGGCATTCCCTGATCGCTCATCGCGGCGGTAGCTTACTGCTAACGCATGATCAATGGACAGATGAAGACGATAAATATACGTCCCAACTGATACTTTCAGCACATGCTCGGCGTCTCGCAGAAGGATGAAAGGACTAACCTTCCTCGGGATCTAAGCTGCCTGTATACTCAACATACAAGTATGGGAAAGCTCCATGTATATGAGCGCATACTTTCTGGCCAGTCTCAGTAGACCCAAACACGCGTATAACTGGGACCTTCGGCTCCTTAGTAGCTTGAGAGGGGAGGATGTCGTTGCGCAGCTGCGGATCGTAGCGCGTTGGGGTTGCCTGATAGTGGTCAATGCAGTTAAGTCTGACCCGGAAAAGGTCCATGATTGAAGCCGAAGAATCATGGAGGAAACACCCTCGAGGTTTCTGAGAGACGCATCATGAAGTATCCAAGAAATGGGGGCATATGGTGACGAGCAGCAGAGTTGTTTTGAAGTGTTCCCTGCGACGCGGCATCGAACTTCACTCCACCCGTCTGGTGACAATGGCACGTCTTGAAAACACGGCATCACGTGAGCGAGAAGCGTCATGAACCGGATTATGTAATCGTATGTGTGAACTCTGACTGTACGTAACTTGGTTTTATGAACAAACTCATATCGCCTCCAGTCGAGCAACGTTTCTACGTGGATGTACAAGCAGGCGTCATCATCCCATACATCTTTTCACCACCAAAATCAAGCACGCTTTTCATAATGCCGCCTCCTCCACCGCGAAGGCCAGACCCAAAGGCGGCCTCGAGCGCTGGCGCAGCCTCAAAAGAAGAGAACGTCTACATTCCGTCCTTCATCAGTAAACGTCCGTTCTACGCTGGCGAAGAAGGAGACCCGAGCGACTATCTTGAACATCAACGTATACAAAAGAAAGCCGAGCAATCACAATGGTACGACCGGGGTAGGAAAGCGGGTCCTGCTGCAACCAAATACCGAAAGGGAGCTTGCGAAAACTGTGGCGCCATGACACATAAGGCAAAGGACTGCCTCAGTAGACCCCGAGCGAAAGGCGCGAAGTGGACAGGAAAAGATATCCAAGCCGACGAGGTTCTCCAAGATGTCCGGCTCGGCTGGGATGCAAAGCGGGACCGCTGGAACGGGTATGATCCGAAGGAGTATCGAAATGTGGTTGAGGAATACAGCCAAATGGAAGAGCTACGAAAGAAAGCTCTTGCCAACGGAGACGACGAAGAAGAGGAGCGAGATGAGGGAGACAAGTACGCAGAAGAGAACGACATGAGCAAACATCAAAGCACAGCGACACGACAGTTGCGACTACGGGAGGACACCGCCAAATATCTCCTCAACCTGGATCTGGATTCGGCAAAGTACGACCCGAAGACACGGTCTTTGATTGACGCAGGTGCTACGCACGACAAATCAGCCAGCCTTTTCGCAGAGGAAGGATTCATGCGCGGTTCGGGCGACGCTGCCGAGTTCGAGAAAGCTCAAAAGTATGCCTGGGAAGCCCAAGAGAAGCAGGGAGATACAGCCCAGCATCTGCAGGCAAATCCAACAGCCGGCGAGTTCCACCGGAAGAAGCAAAAAGAGGAAGAAGAGCGAAAGCGCGCCGAAAAAGAAAAGAAGCTTATGGAGATGTACGGAGACAACTCCCTGTACAAGATGCCCGAGGACCTCAGGCAGATGGTTACCGAGTCGGAGCATTTTGTCGAGTACGACGAGAGCGGCCTCATCAAGGGGGCACCGAGGGCGGCAGCGAAGTCCAAGTACACTGAGGATGTTTTTGTTCACAATCACACCTCCGTTTGGGGAAGTTGGTGGTCTGACTTCCAATGGGGTTTTGCATGTTGCCATTCTCTCGTCAAAAACAGCTATTGCACCGGAGAGGAGGGCAAGGCTGCGTTGGATGCTGTGGAACGGCAGAGGACTCGAATGGCTCTGATCGAAAACGGGGAGGCCGCAGAGGAGATCCCTGAAAAGGAGGAAGACAAACCGAGGCAAAATGTCGTCAAGAAGCGCACAGCAGAAGAGATGATGAGCGGGGTCACGGAAGAGGACATGGAGGAGTACAGAAGGAAACGGACAGCGGCGGAGGATCCCATGGCCAAGTTTTTGGGCAAAGATGAACTGGTACACTAAGATAAAGCAAAGGGGGAAGGAAATATGACACCATGATACCCGTATACTCGTCACATCCATCGCACGTACGCACAAGGGAACACTACACTCTCGTTTCCGACGACTTCTGCAGACATATCAAGTTCTGGTTTCATCAAGGTCATGCCATTATCCTCTGGCTAACGCCCTAAATGCGAACCGCCCAATGTGCCATGGTGGGTATTTCCCAGTCGCCGTCGCCCCACGAATTTTTTTTAAAACCACATAGACCCTTAGGAAGATGATGCGTCTACTCCTCGTCCTCGTCCTCAGCCTCCTCATTGCCACCCTCGGTAGCCTTGGCCTTCTTTCTGCGGACACGACCGGGGCGACCTCCACCGAAAGGCGAGGTGAGAGCGAAGTCAATGTGCTTCTGGGAGTCGAGACGGACGATGAACGACGGAACGTTCACGATCTGCTTGCCGACGCGGATGTGACGCTGGCGGATGAGGACACGGGCGTGGTGAATGGACTTGGCGAGACCGAGCTTGAAGACAAGGGTCTGCAGGCGGCGCTCCAGGAAGTCCTCGACCTTGAGGGCAAGAACGTAATCGAGCTTCATGCGCGACTCGTCGAGAACGCCGACGCGAACCAGTCGTCGAATGAGGGCATTGCCCTCGAAGAGGCGCTTGGGGTCCTTCTCATCGAGAGTAAGAAGCTGACTTGGGGCTTGTCAGTACATCGCCGCCCATACAATTCCCAATGAGGGGCTTTTTATTTCAAGCGCAGGCAAAGCTTACCGAGCAGCACGACGAATCTTGGAGAGGGTGAGCTGGACACGCCAGACCTCACGCTTGTTGCGGAGACCGTACTCGCCAACGAGCTTCAGCTCGGAGTCACTGGTGTTCTTCTGTCAGTCGGGCCTCAAACGACATAAACGGAGGCAAGCTCCTGTTCAGTGGCCGGAGATACTGACAGTCGGGCCGCCTCGAAGGGGCGACGAGGCACACGCGAAGTCTTGGAGTAGGAGGGACTGGACACAATTCAATTAGCATGGTCGTACTGGTCGTGAGAGAATATTGCAGCCTGATGTCGAACTTACGGAGCCATCTTGCCGTCTCGATCTTCGCGATGTCGTTGACGTTGGGTGCACTACGGAAATTCCAGTGTTGGAAAATTGCTTGTAGGTCGTTGGTGGTCAAGAAAGTTTCGGGCTTGGGCGTGCACGGGCCATCTGGGTCTTAAGCCCTAGGTCCGTACCCGCTTTACCCACCAATCGAGGTGCAGGGTCCGCTAGGAAAAACTTCGGCAAATTCCAGTACGGCGGGCACAAACCCACAGCTTACCACACCCACGAACCTCACCCAAAATTTTGAACGTCGTCTTGCCTTGTTGTATCGTCGCCGACTGACTTTCAGCACCTCCAACACCAAACCGACCGACATTTTCGACGACACAACACCGACAAGATGGGTCACCCTCAGGGTCTGCGTTCCGGCACCCGGGTACGTGATTCCATGCTATCAATAAGCGACTCGTTGGGCAACAATTCTGACAATCGCGTTTAGCACATGTTTGCCAGGTCCTTCCGTGAGCGCGGTAACATCCGACTTTCCACCTACCTAAAACAATACCAGTACGATCGAATTCATCGAGTCTGGAGGAGGTTGAATTTCTGACATATTCCGCAGCGTCGGTGACATCGTTGATATCAAGGTCAATGGTGCTGTTCACAAGGGGTAAGGCGCATCGGATTCGAACTTCGCGCGGGGCACTCAAACCCAACGAAGCAACCTCGACCGAGAACGGGACAACACATGGATGGAAATACTGACTGGCGGGGATTACAGCATGCCGCACAAGGTCTACCACGGCAAGACCGGCGTCGTCTACAACGTCAGCAAGTCCGCCGTCGGTGTCATCATCTACAAGCAGGTGAATCACCGGTACATCGAGAAGCGCATCAACATCCGCATCGAGCACGTTTCGCCTTCCCGCTCTCGTGACGACTTCCTGCGGAGAGTGAAGGAGAACGCCCGTCTCCGCAAGGAGGCCCAGGCCGAGGGCAAGACCGTTCTGCTCAAGCGCCAGCCTGCCGGACCCCGCGAGGCCCACACCATCTCATTCAAGGAGCATGTGCCCGAGACCATCGCCCCTCTCGCTTACGAGACGACAATTTAAGCAACCTGGGTGGTGTGTGACGGCGAGTGTGGGACGAGCGAATATGTCATGCCGCGGAGGAGTACGAGCGTTTATGAGGTACGGCTCGGCCCTCTTGCGTGCTGCAATAGACGGCAGCCGAGACGACTGTCTTCTACTACGGGGAAAATGGGAGATATCAATGGCTTTTTCTCGTGCATGGGGTGTTACTGTGAATCGGACAATTTTCTTGCATGGAAAGGCATCGAGGTTTCGGCAACGTCCATAGGGAATGAAAATCCGGTGGCATTTCGGCATTCCCTCTTAACCAGATTACATGCATGTCCTTGAATGGGCATGTTGGGCTTGAGTGCAGCTATATGTGTACGCATTACCCGTTCTCTGGTTACGTCGGGGTTAGGTTTCCAGACGCAAACCACCCAGTCCCAAATTCTACGCAGCGTACATCCAGCTATCTAAGACTCCAGTCGCGGACGTGTTTGTTGGCGGTTGAAATGGCGCAATATACCATCTCTAACGGTGGCAGTTTGGAGTTCGCTTCCCTGGTAATTTCATGTCTAGCCTTCATCCGTTTGGGATGACCTGAACGCGTTCGAGCAAACGCGTGTACTCTCTACCTAGGTAACTTGCGATGATGTCTTCGGCGCGGATTGTCGAGGCCTGAGAAGGCTGACTTTTAAGGGTGCATTGTGGACGTGCTCAATCGCGGTTTTCCCTTATTCCACGCAAAACCCTGTGTGGAATTGGAGCTGATTTTCTTTCCGTACTTCTACATCCAGCCCTCTATTACAGTTTCTTGCCACATCAAGACACAACGGTTTCATACAGGATACGAAACAACTATTGGATATCGTGACTTGGTATGAATGCGGAGTAACCATGACGGATAACGTCTGTGCATCCTGAGTGGCTGAAAGCACGTGATTCTGCGATGCTGTTTAAGATTTGAAAATGACACAGTCAATGAGCCCTCACCTGGTACTCGCCATTTGCATATGATTATTTACGCATAGCGTTTCCTCTTCAAGGGCGCGCATTACCCACCCCGTATTCAGTTATTAAAGGTCCAAACACTCGTCTCGTGCTCTGCCTTTTATCAGGCGATAACAAGTGAACTCGAGTCTCAACAGAGGCTACAATCTCACAAACCTTGTATAGGTAGTTCATATATTCGGCGACACCCTGCATGATGCCGCGGAAACCAACAAAGCGAGCGTGGGATGAGGGAGATGAAGAGCCGACCAAACCAACCACGCGTCTCTATGGACGCAAGAGGGCCAAAGCAGAACCAAACTTGCCAAAGGAAGAAAAACGTAAACGCCGTTTTCGACCAAACCCGCCCCAAAGCTTCCATGAGATATATAATCGAGCAATGACCCAAAGGTATGCCCGAACTTCCCCAGTTCTTATTCTGTCTAGGGATCGTTCTCATATCTTTTCGACGAAGATTCTACGTCATAAGTCGCCATCGAGATGACTCGGTTCCGCAAGAGAGAGTTGAGCTTGCGGGTTCAACTGGCAATGTCTACACCATTACAATATCCCATTGCCCATCCTGCAATTGCCCGCATGCCTTAAAGGGCAACCAGTGCAAACACATTCTCTACGTATGTTGCATCTTTCTACCTGTCTTTGTGTCAAATTGCTAATACCTCTTCAGGTAATGTCGCGTGTCCTTCACGCCAAGTTCGAACATGTCTATCAGCTCGCACTCCTGACCGACGAACTCCATGAGATCTTTCGCCAGGCACCCATCCCAGCTAAGGACGCATCCTCACCGGAAAAAAACGTAGACAAGCGGCGGAAGCCTGTGGAAGGAGACTGCCCCATCTGCTTTACGGAGCTCGATGCCAAGAGCAGCGAGTCTGTTGTCTGGTGCCGCGCCGCCTGCGGCCAGAACATGCACAAGAGCTGCTTCAAAATGTGGGCTAGAGTCAAGAAGCAGGCAGTGACCTGTCCATTTTGCCGGAGCCCCTGGCAGGAGGACGAGGAGACGGCCAAGACGATCCTGAAGGAGGGTAAGGTCACTGCCGAAGGCTATGTCAATGTGGCTGACCAACTTGGCATAAGTACTGTTCAGGGTGCGTGTCGAGTTTGTACGTTGAGCTTCAACCGTGCTAGCGCTGACAGTGGCAGATACGAGTACTTACTCTCGCTGGTGGAGCGGCCACTACGGTCGTCGTGGTTACTGGTAGTAACCACTACCAAGTGGTTCTCCCCTGTTTCGGCGTGACATCTTTCGACTTACACTTCGGCTTGGCCACACAGTACAACCGACGGGTGAAAGCTGAATTCTGGTCAAGCAACCATGATTTGCCACAGAACCTCAGTCGGAGCTCTCGACTTACATATAACCCCGCTCAGCCCTGAGCCTGGCGCCCCTTCTTGCAGTTGGGCCCAGTCATCAATCATCATGTTTCAAACGACCGCTGAATCGATACTCTTCGAAGTCTGCGAAATGGCAAATGTCAACCTTCGTCTACTTTACGGAAGTATCGCTATGCATTGGACAAGCCTGGACGTTATCGCGATCATCTTCTCCAATCATAAAGCCCGAAGAGTCGAAAACAGTACAAGCGGAAAACATAATTATCATCGGCCTCCACTCATGGTACCGATAATCACCATATACCCCCTACAATAACCCCTCCGTGGATCCTGTTGTTCTTTAGGTCCTCGACAGCAGCTCTAGCCCCGTCGGTGTTGGTCTGGTACCACGCCCTTGATGGCAATGCCCTTGAGGGCCTAACTTTTGGTCATATTCATTCCCACAGGGTCACTGCTGAGTGACTATGGGTGGCTTGAGGGCAATGGGTCTCAAAGGCCGTACGACCGCGCCGCGAACAGGTTGCGGCCCGTGGCAGTGATAAGAGGGGTTTGAACCCAAATCAGAGTCAAAGCTCTTTCGGAGATGTGCTTCTGGCAAAGAGCTGAGATAACATCAGTCAGTGGCTTGAGGGTGATTTTGGCTAAGGGGCAAACTTCGAGGATGCTTTCGAGTTTCGACAATAAGCCATTGGATATCGGGTAAGGGAGACTTGTAGGTCTTTCCGAATGGTTGTATTCTTTACCTGGATCGATTCGAACGTTGGATCAAGGTCTGGGACACTGGTATATGACTTAGTTGTGTCCGCCATGGTTCCTTCCGGATGGCTAGCCTACTGGCATAAAGGGGTTGTCAGGCTCAGGGATATGACGGCTCCAGACATGACACCGAAATGAATGAAAGAAAGTGGTTAGGGCCATCATACAACGAAACATGGAACCGCTTAAATACGTATGAGTTAACACAGTAGGAAGTTTGAGGTCCTCGGACCTTATTACAAAGAGAGATTTGAAGATTGTCTCGTGAATGATAATGTACTTTTAAAGAATTCGACTGAAGTCCACGTACGTAGATCATGATATAGCATAAAATAACTGTATGAGACATCGGGCTTGCTACACAAGATCTGCTGAAAAAGAAACCCCAGGGAGGGTGATAAGCATATTCAATTCTATTTCAAGATGTGTTCTTGGTTTTGTTATGATAGGGAACCTGTATGAGACTCTGAACAACAGTTTCATGAAATATTCGCTAAGTAGATGAAAATTACTAGCATGAGAAACACAGGTAACTCACTTTCAGTACCTTATAAAAGTAACTGGTTCTGCCAGACAACTATTTCCTGGTTATTTAAGATCAAGACTTTCTCTGATATCTGAAGCCGTTTATTGCATTGTTGGTTATGGAGAATGCCCCTGACTCTTTATAGAGCATATATTCCAATTCATGGACACTCCTAAGCGTATATCTGGCTAGTAATGCCCTCCTTTGCAAGTATCGAGATCCTTCGAATGACCGAGGGTAATTATGTACCCGGTGGTGCATCTAGATCTCTGCGAGAGACATTCATGGTTCCGGTCTCTAAATTTGATACTCTAATAATATCCGTCATCTGATCGAACCTGGAAACTGTATAATGAGCCCGCATTTCTTGATTGTTAGTTTTTATTATGATGGTAAGAACCTATAAAGCGATAGGCAGTGCTAAACAGGCACATGGTTGACTTTACTTCAGTTATCATAAATAGGTTTCTCTGTTCTTTGTTGCGGGATTGGGAATCAGCAAGATACTCTATAATGGTATTTAGAGCAGAAGAAAACCTGTGGACCTTTTGTGTGGATTTACAACCTATTTAAGGGGTGATGATTTTCCAAATCTCGAATCTCACCATTGAATATATGGAGTATTGCTGAAACGATAAATATACCTCGACTTTATAACCTTTCTTTAGGCTTATAGCCTGTTCTCAGTTTCTCTCCTTCTCTTTTCGGGCTATCTCTGTTTCCATCTCCTCCCTTTTCTCTTTTGCATCCCGGTTCCCTTGTCATTCGTCACCATCTATTCTCTTCTGCTAATTCCGCCTGTCATCTTTCTTTTCTACCCTGTAAAACTTGCCAACTTTACGTCTCTTACTTATGGGCAACTCCTCCACAACAGTCATATGAGAGTATACTTCGTACATTTATGTTTCAGTAAGAGAAAGCTAAAGGAATTAAAACGAAAGAACGCAAATCCATTCAATGTGTGAAACCAGGGGAGTCATAGCATCCAAATATTGTTACACCACCGCCTCTTAGGGTCTTACCCATCTTACAGACAATCAAAAAGTACGATATTTCGCAAGACTATGTCTAATTACAGAATAGAGAATTCGAAGCCCTACCCACGAATGAATATCGAGTTCCTGACTGAAGTTTGAACCCTGAAGGACTCAAGGAGTACACTCGCAGCTCCAGACAGCATTTCAAATTACGCGTATTTAGTAGGTGATACCGTGATTTGTGGGCTGTTCTCCATTGGGTCCATCCGGGAAGGGATCTTGAGGACTTGATACGGGGCCATGGAGGACCTAGGTATTTCTAAGACGAACGAGGGACCCGAAGCCTGACCTCGGCCGAGACTCGCGGAGTCGCGATTCCGTCCCGAAAAGTGGATCCTGTGTGCATGTTATGTAGTGTAGGGGGGCAGAAGTAACGCTGTTGACGAATAATAGATGAGCCAGGATGATTCATACTGGCTCACTTGCCAACGCTGACATACAAACGCAACACGAAACTCGAGCCCTGTCATAGCTGTATGGAAGATAACCACCACTGCGGCAGGTGCGGCAGTGAGGAGTGGGAGATATTGCGGTTCAGAGCATCCCTTAAAAGTGCCCTGCATGGACGCATGTGATGAGTCTTTCCGAATGTAATATGATACAACATGACGGAGCCTGCTGGGTTACCCTATGCCTTATAGCTGTTTCCTGGGCAGTAGTCCCTTCCTCAGAGATGTGCCGTCGCTGCCGTGACGAAGATGGAATGGATGAATACTCCTAGAGTGGGAGATTGTTATAAATATGGCAGAAGCAATCTTGTAAAACATAAAGAGAGGGAGTGCGATGCCATCCTGCTCGGAGGCAAGTTCTTCGACTCCTATCTTGTAAAGCATGCGCCAGTCAGTTTGGAGTCCTCACGCCAAAGAAAGAACGGTACGAGCCCCTAGCCCTCACTAAACAACGCAATGCATAAAGGGCAGAAGTGATTATGAACCCGGAGCTGAGTCCAAGTGAACAATCAAACCTCTGAGAAATACACCCTCAGTTACCTGAAGACACATATTAGCCGACATCGTCTGAACGTTAGCCGTCACCCAGACGCATTTTCACGAGATATAAAGAAACGAATTGCAAAAAGCTAACAAGTTCCTACATGCCAGGTTTCTTTTCTTCTCAACCCCCTTTGCCCAACCGCATCACAGCCTTCAGCGCCTCCGTTTCGGCCTCCTGTCTCGCCAATCGCAACTTCAGTTCGTCCCTTTCCTTGATCGTCTCCTCCAGCGCCTTCTCCAGCTCCTCGATCCGGTCGACTTTTTTCTGCCGGTACTTACGAGCCGCAATCGTGTTGCGTTTCCGTCTAAAAACAACATCTGGATCGTCTTTGTCCCGTTCGCGTTGTCGCGACGTTGACGTAGACTGTATCTCGGACGCCGGTGCGGCCGCCAAACTTAGTGTATTGACGGTCAGAGAACTGTGCGCTGGGCTGGGAGTAGCAGCTGGCAGCGGTATGGAGGGCGATGGGTTTGGAACGGCGGATGGGACGAGTTGGGAAAAGTCGGAAATCTGGAAAAGGTCTAATTGCAATCGTATCAGTCCCGCACGGTTTTTTTTCTTTCTTTTTTTCCCCCCTGCCCTGCACTCAGTAAGAGCGACGGCACGCACCTGGTCCAATCTCGAAGTCATGCATAGCAGGTATCGACTGAGGAAGAGCGCGGGTCGTCACCGGACTCCAGCCAGAAGCATCCCAATTAGAAAGAAGGTCGGGGCCTGGGAGGGCGGTGCTGACGGCGTGGCCAAGGTCCAGACCACCCCATCCTTCAAGGCCCGCGAGACTAGGGGTAGTAGTTGCCGGCTGGTAGTAGCTGGTCTCGACGGGCAGAGTGTAGAAGGAGTCAGACTGGGTCGAAAGGGGTCTTGAGAGTAACGGGCTGGAAGAACATGTTGGCGTTCCTTGCGCATCTGTGTGCAGTTGGCATGGTTGAGCACATTGTTGCAGAGTGCGATACGGCCCCTTTCGAGGCCGTGGATGATTTCGGTGATAAGGCGATGGGTACTGACGCGCTTACGCCGGGGTTCTGATGGCGAGTTGGCCAAAAACGAGGTATGTGAGTTGGAGAAGTCCGAGTGTTCTAGGGCCAACGCGGAGAAATAGATGGGGTGGAGAGAGACCACCTGATCGCAGTGCATCGAGCTGCTTACCTAATAATTACAACCCCAACTGGGCACGGAGTAATCATTGATGGATGGATGCCTTGCATTCGTGTAGGCACCGAGATTAGACTGGTCCAACCGGACTGGTATGACGAAGAGCCAGACAGCAGTATGTAGGATAGGGATTCTTTTTTTCTCTTCTTTTCCCTTTTATTTTTATTTTTATTTTTATTTATTTCTTTATTGTCTGAGTCTTGTTTTTGGCTCACGAACTACGACCCGTTCGGAGAGAAGCCGGTCTCATGATCCTCATTCCCTAGAGCTCCCGTGAGTCCCGTCTTCAGCAGCGGTTGCGGTTCCTCGCTTTATATTATATCATGACCACTCTTCCTTTGCACCCCAAATCTCAAGAACGACGTCTCTCATTGTCGTCAGAAGAGTCACGGGCGTAAGAGTCTCAATTTCTCACCACCCTCCAAGGCTTATCATGACTCACTCAGCGCCCATCCAGGTCCCCAACTGAAACCATCACCACGAGCACCCCTCATCAGTTCACGGTCGCTGATGGTCACAGAAAGCCCACACGCACCAGCACGACCAAAGTGCGAACTGGATGCGTGACATGCAAGAGACGGCATGTCAAATGTGACGAGACGAAGCCGTTCTGTATGAACTGCGTCAGGACGAGGGGGATTTGCGAGGGATATGTGATTAAACCCAGGAAGCCGAGATCCAAGCCGGGCCGAAAACAGCCATCAACCGCCGATGATGCGACGTTGGTGCATAGTCAGCAGTCCAGGCGGGCCAAGTCGCCCACGGTGATTATGCTGGAACCTGACCTGAACTCGACCGACTTCGCCGACGACCTGAGCGTCATGTATTTTGACGAATTCCTCCAGTTCCTTCGCGTGTCACTCAGCAGCCGGGGTGCGCTGAATTCTAAGCTCTGGAAGACGACGATGCCACAGATGACCCGGACGAACACCACCCTTCGACATGCCGCTATGGCCATCGGTGCTCTTAGCAGAGCCTTCGGCAGTGCTGGTGACGGCTCCGATGTCAAGGCGGATGAACTAGTACACCTCGCACGCCTCGAACGCAGCCCGCACTATAATAACGCAGTGGTGCACTATTGCAGGGCCCTGCGATTGCAGAGTCAAGCCCCCGATGGCCTCGTCCTACAGGACACGATCTTCCTGTCGGTCCTCTTCATTGCCTTCGAGGTGATGCGGGGCGATCAGCGGAGCGCGTTGCGGCACATCAACCACGGCATGGCTCTCTTCTTCTCTATACTGATGGGGGGTGGGGTGGGCGACAAGCATCCGCTCACCAGCCTGGCAGCGGCGCCCCGCGCACTTTTGGGAGAGGTGGCGGAGATATACAGTCTGCTCGGGAGTCAGAGTCGGACGGTGCTCGACGGGCGGGTCGGAGGCTCGTTACCGCTGCAGGAGGTCACGACGGGTTTGATGAGAAAGGGCCAGAGTCTGGAGATGCTCAACCTTTACATGATGCAGCTGCCGCGGTCCCTGGCCAGCATAGACTCGATCCCCAAGGTCTTCGCCGATGTTGGAGTAGCGGAGGAGTACTGGGCTGCCATCCAACGGCGGGGGGCGCAGCTGGGTCCGTTAGTCATGGACTTGGTATACGAAAGCGGGATTCTGGAATCGGAGGATGACGACGAGGTCGATGCGCTTTTCGCGGATTTTCTTAGGAACCAAACCCTGATGGAGTTCTGCGACGAGTCGGCCAGGTTGGCTGAAGAGTGGGACGCAGCATTCCAGCCGCTGTATATGCAGGCCCTGATGGAGGGGAAGCAGGACCGGGAGAAGTATATGCAGGCCCTACAACTGCGCCTGTCGCACCTGCTAGTACAAGCGTTCGGTTGCCTTGTGCAGTACACGGACCACGAGGCGATGGCCACGCTGACGCCCCTCTGTCGCGAGATTGTCTCTGTAGCCGAGGTGATCCTACGGACGTCACAAGAGGAATTCACAAGCGCGGCCCACCGGACTGGCGTGGATGGCGGGGTAACGTGGCCGTTGGGGCTGGTGTCGTTGCACTGCCGGGACCCGCTTGTGCGTGAGGAGGCGATCCGCGTGCTTCGGCAGTACCCGCGTCGAGATGGGCTCTGGGATACGCGGCTGTTTGCGGCCGTCGCGGAGCGGAACCGGGACCTGGAACGAGCCAACGCGGTAGAAGGGACGGGGGAGGAGCAGTGGAGGCGGTTGTGGCGACGGGAGCACGTCTTTGAGGAAGCTGGGTCACGGATCGTGTTCCGGTTTCTGGAGAAGGATGAGATCTCGGGCCAGTGGCTGGTGGTGGAAGAAGCCGCGGATCTCACGGCGGACCTGGAGGTGGTCGGGTGGAAGAGACAGCCCCTGACCGGCAAGGGTAGGTTCCTCCTGTCTAATATCCTTCCCGTTAACGGATCCTCGACGCGCAGCAACAATGCGGCGTAGGTTCATTTCCACGGGGCATTTCTCTCACATTGGTTACGCCTGGAGACGACATTGTTACATTACAGTATACTGTATGATGCCAGGAAAGAACAATGAATGGCGTTTTGGGGATTAGGGCGAACTGGATATTCTGCTTGTTCTTATAGCATCTGATACCACTCGATTCAATGTCATCTGCTCTACTCTAATTCGAATGCCAGGGGCTGAAGCACACCAACGTTGCCTCCCTCCCCCCTCCAAGTAGGCAATTAGAGAGCAACCAGCACCCTCTCGATGCAAAGGGAATGGGCATTATTAGCGTTCAGGGCTCGAAGAGTATCGCGTGATGGCTTGGCCGACCAGAATTGACCTTGCCGTTCGTGGGTGTAGACTGGAGTTGTAGTCGGGCCGTATGAAAAAAGTAAGGTTCGAGTCGGTTTATCGTGCCCATCGGACTACCTTATCTTGTACGGGCAGCCAACTTACCTAAGGTACCTTACCTAAGGTAGGTTGCCAAGCCATATGATCTACCTAGGTACTTCAAATCTTCTACACGTGTAGATCACTTTGGCGTCTCTGACGTAAGAGGCAGCTCGCTTTAGTCGCTAACAGCGTCTGTCATAGGGGGTTCGCACTTCTTCTGTTAAGTTACCCGCAGCCATTAAGGTCATATCGTCCTGTCCACGTAATAAAAAAAAAAAAAAAAAAAAAGGAATGGGCCGAATCCGCCGAGTCCTGGCCAAGCAAGCTTTTCCAAGTGCTCAGCGATCGGTGATCGCTTATTGCCAAGATAGCTCCGTGGTGATTGTAAAACCGGCAAAAACCGCTGAAAACATGGATCGCGGGCGGAAATGGGCTGGAACGGTCCGAAAGCAGCTAGCACCATGGTATAGCAACAAGGGTCTATGTATGTTCACTAAAGTCCTCGAGGATAAGAAGTGTAGTCGTGCGAAAGGCAGACTCGTGGAATTGAGGAAATCGCCAAGGTGTGGGGAGCGGCTTGTTGCAGGAACCCCACAAAAGCTTGTGTTGCTGCCAGACATCCGTGCATATCCCCTGGTGAAGTTCCCTATTATGGAAATCCATGAGATAATTCGTGTAACAGCAGGGCAGCATGTCGACCTCATGGCAGTCCGAAGGATATCTCACGTGAATGAGGTCACAAGTGATTAGGAGTCGTCATACCTTAGGGGAAGATGGGTGAAAAGCGACGATACAGGAAGAGTCACTACCTAGGCACGGAGTAACTTCAGGGTAAAGGCACCCCACGTCGCCCTCCACACATCCCCACATTTGCCCTCCTCAATGAAACACGTGCATCCATTGGGTATTTCCCGCACATGATTACTTGGTCGTCGGTGAGGGCAATTATTCTACTGGTCTGCCATCGCCTATTATCTGTACATACTCCGTAATATGTTCTTGAGGAGTTGGTATGGGTTGTTCAAGGGCATTATCCCAAACGGTGACTGTACTCTGTAGTCTGTACGTTAACCAGAGCCTAGAACAACACCGACGCGCTGACCGAGCGGAGGCTTAGAATGGACTCCGTATACTGTTTATACTGTCGTCAGTGGCTCTCGAGTTAAAACCTTCGTTCCATTTATATTAGGGACAGATATTTATGAAGGCCTCGCTTCTCACGTTCAACGAGGAATCTGCCTACTAATTATTTATTGCTTCCTTCTTGGAAGAAGAGTGGATATTTCCGCCAGGATTTCTTCCACCAACGTCAAAATCATGGTCCCATCTATGCAGAAGATGCAACCAGTATCAGCAACCCTGACATCAGCGGAACCGACGCAGGGCAAAGATGGTCAGGCAATTAACCCAGCAGCCGTCCATACCCTAGCCGTCCACAACTCTGGCTCCGGTACCATAGGTACGTATGTACGGACTACGGAGTACATCCACAATGCGCTATGAAATTTGCCCGCGAGTTGTTCCGAGTCCGCCTGGCACCAACCCCCACCAAGACGCTTCTGTACCCCCGTCCCCCAAAGCACTGTACACTACTTCGACGAAGTACTTGAGTGGGTTGCCACCCGCCGTTTCGTGCATTCCATGCCTGCTTTTCCCCAATCCAACCCCCCCCCCCCGTTCCAGGAGCAGGGAATGCTTCTAGAAGTTTACCGTCTTGTGTGTTCAGTATCATTACCGATCATCGTCCACCCACTCATCCACCCACTTATCCACACTCATTCACCCACCCCCTTTTCAACTAACCCTTGTTCCTTTCCTTTTTCCTTACCTAGGCAACCCCACGTCCAACTCTCCGCGGACATGTACAAAAAACCGCACAACAAGCCATAAAAGGAACACATTCGCCGAAGTGACACCATCTCCAACCATCTCTCCTCCCCTTTCTCTCTCGGACCCCTCGATCGACAGCCACGACCACGTAGTCATCGAATGTTCATCAGAGACAAAGGACTCTCCCGACGCCCTCTTTACCCCCTTCAGGAATGAGACGGGAGAAAATATCCGCAAGTCGTTGGACGAACCACTCATTCTAGCCGACTCATTGGGGCATTTGAACTCCCTATCATTTATTAAAAAAAGTGGTCGCCGCCCTTCACTTTCTATCTCTTCAGAGCTCTCTTCGGGCCCGACTACCACCGGAACGTCTTCATACCCGGGCCCCTCAGAGTCCATCCAATTGGCCAGTGGATCTCCATCCTTCAACGTCAGCTTTGCCGGTCTTCCCGGCTCCCCGAAGGTACAATCACCAAAACCTGTCGCCGACCGGGACTTCATTGCCACCTCGGTCCTGCGACGACGAACGGACAGCCCACACCCAGAGCGGCGAAGGAGCGAGTTTACACGCATGATGACCAACCTTTTCCGGAAGAACACATCTGGCCCAGACTCCGCTTCTGCGCGACCCGGCCGCGGCGTTGCTTTCCATGATGCCAGCGACGTACGCGATGCACGCGATGTGACCGGTCACCCTCTCCCTATGTCGTCCACTTTCTCCGAAGACACGTCCGCCACGACCATGATCAACGCCGGCGACGACCTGACGCCGAACCGAGAAGATTTCAAGAACACCAGGGCCTCCACCGGCTTCTCCCTCCGGAGTCGTGTCATCGGGTTCGGCCAAACCAACAGCCCTAGCCGGGACAAAAATGGTAGGAGTATATTCCGCTTAGGCCACCGCAGCAACCTTGATCGCGAAGACCCCCCGTCCGAGTTTCAGCTCGCCCTAGGCGGCACACGAGAGCCCCCTCATCACCATCATCGTCACCGCATCGAGCCCTCTCCCTGGGTCCAGATGCCCGATGCTGGCGTGGGCGTCAAGTCTCGCCGTCTGAGCGTGAGTTTGCCCGACGACTTCTTCGTCGAAGTAGCCGACCTGCTCTCCGTGTACGAGTATCAAAACAAGTTCTTCGGTCGCCATGGCAGGCACCTCGGCAAAGGTGCCACCTCCAAAGTCACCCTCATGGCCCGTAAGGGCTTTCCCGGCGAGCTCTACGCCGTCAAGGAGTTCCGTCGCAAATCCAAGGCGGAAACGGTCGACGAGTATGAGAAGAAGGTCAAGTCCGAGTACAGCATTGCTAAGAGCTTGCATCACCCCAACATCGTCGAGACGGTGCAGCTCTGTACCGACCACGGCCGCTGGAACCACGTCATGGAATACTGCAGCGATGGGGACCTTTACCAGCTCGTCGAGAAGGGTTACTTGAAGGATTGCGCCCGCCTCCCCGATCGCCTGTGCCTGTTCAAGCAGGTCGCCCGGGGCGTCAACTACCTGCACCGCAACGGCATTGCCCACCGCGACATCAAGCTGGAGAACTGCCTCATATCCGCCGGCAGCAAGCTCAAGATCACCGATTTCGGCGTCTCCGAGGTCTTCTGCGGCACTCACCCGGGCTTGCGGGAGGCCGGAGGGCAGTGTGGTACGAACATGAACAACGAGATCCGACTCTGCGCCCCCGGGATATGCGGTAGCGAACCCTACATCGCCCCGGAAGTGCTCCGCAAGGACCGGCCATACGACCCTCGCGGCATGGACGTCTGGGGCACCGCCATACTCATGATCTACCTGACCTTCGGCGCAAACATCTGGAAAAGGGCAGAGCTCAAGACCGGCTCGCCCAACTACGACCTTCTTGTCACGCAGTGGGAGAAGTGGTACGCCCGGCACTCGGAGCCCGACCCCCGCATAACCGAATTGGACTACCCGCACTATGTACCCTTCGACCAGTGCGTCACCCCGCCCGCCCTGCGCCGGGTCCTCCTGATGATGCTCAACCCGGACCCTGCCAAGCGGGCGAGCATCGCCGACGTCGTCAATAACCGGTGGGTCAAGAATATTGAGTGTTGTCGGTTCGACTCGTATGACGAGCCGGCCGTGGTCATCGACGCTTCCAAGAAGGACGCCACCCGCGTCAACGGCCAGAAGATCTTTTGCCATAACCACATGCCGGTTCAGAGCCAAGGCCACTCCTTGGGGAAAATGCCTGGACAGCCAGGATATTAAGCGAGTTGATGAGACGATATTTTGCACGAAAAGAATGAACGGGGGCCAACTTGGATTGAGATGGGTTTTCCTTTTGTCGTATAATTAGACAGATTTCCCCCTATTTCTGCTTGCAAAGCTCCCATCTGCCTTGCCTTCTTCTTTTACCACGGAGGGAGCAGGCCTGGTTTGAAGTCCGAATCAGGGAACTGAGTGGCTGGAATGGGGACGGGGATGCGCTTTCACATTTCCTTTTCCTTTTCTTTTTCTTTTTTGCCTGGGGAGTTTCGGAGAGCCGTGACACACGGACGGGGTTCGGTTCACCTCATGTAGGAAAAGATACACTGGAATGGAGTTGGGACCTGATGCTTACGCAGGCCGCTGTATACCTTAATCTTGGTTTATTTACAACACTACCGTATGGAGTAACTTGAGTACATGTTTTGAGACGCTACATTCGCCATCCATAATGCGAGCAAGGCACTTGTGAAGCGACGTCGGGCTTTTGTTTTGTTTCCTTTGCATCTCGTCACAATACCCAACCAGTACAAACGCCCTGTGACTTGTCATAGTGGAAACATCGAACCTGTTCGTCATGGAGGCCCAGGAAGGACCCCGGAATGTAAAGTTGACTTCTCTGTCCATACGGCAGGCAATCCACGATCAGTCGGAGCTTCAGTGTCAGCGGCCAATAATGGTAAGTTCAGCTTGTCATTAGAGGACATGAACAAAAGGGAAGAAAGGAAGTCGCTGCCACCGTGAATATATATTGAAGAAACACCTGAATGATAAGGGGGAAACCATGGTTTGCCCTGTCTACCCGCCCTTCATTACCTAGGCCTACCCAACCATTGCCCTATCCCTCCCCCTCCTCGCCCTGGCCCTTAAATGGGCAGCAAACCAAACTCAAGAGCCGTACTCCGTCCATGTCCAACGATTGTCAGTGTCTCATTAAGAGCGTGCTTGCAACAAAGAACGACATAACAAAATAGAAGTGACCAGCCATCGCGACTATACGCCCATGGTAAAGTCGTGCTCGATTCCAGGCGTAACGCTAGCCATGAACTAGGGAGAAGAGAGAAAGGAACAAGTCAGCACGAAGCGTCCGGAAAGGTCAGAATGGTTTGGTGAGGGGGTTAAAAAAAAAAAGGGAGAGCGTATTACCTTCAGGAACACGACAAGATATTGATCCACGCGGATAGCCACCTCCTGCTCGTCAATCTCACTCTGCTTGACTTCTTCCCACTCATCGCCCGACCCCTTATCGGCGGCGGCTTGGGCGTCCTGCACGTCTAACTTGTCGACCTCGTCGACGAGGCCTTCCATGCCCTGGTCCCCGCCGACGGTCTTGCCCCGCCGGAGCTTTTCCCTGCGGATGCGGAGGGCGGCGTCGGCACGGTCGAGCAGAGTCCGCATGACGGAGGCGTGCTTGCAGGGGTGCACGCTAGCCATCTTGACGTTGTTCGCGAAGAAGGGGAAGTCCTCGAGCGTCACCGTCTTGTCCTTGTAGTCTCCCACAATGTCGTCCATCATGGACTTGGGCGGCAGGGGTTGGCCGTTGGGGAGGTAACCCGAGAGATAGAGGCGCGGGGTGCGGTAGTAGGCCGAGTACATGATGTAGAGCGTGTATGTCCTACGGCCGCTAGAAGAGGAGGGAAAAAAGAAGATATGCTGTCAGCGATATGTTTTTCTCTTTGATACGCGAGCGGAAATCAAAGCAAAAAAAAGAAAAAAGAAATTACTGCGGCGTGCCTACCTGTCTTTCCCACTAGCCTCGGTATCCCGAATGATCGCCTCGTCGTCATCTTCATCCTCCATGTCGGGGATATCGTCCTCTTCTAGCGCTTCCTGTTCGCCGACGTTCCCAGAGTCGTCCATCGTCCGGACATCACGAGCCTTGAGCGGCTGGGAGCTCGACAGGCCGCCCGTCCGCAACCACCCGTCGTCGTCGTCGTCGCCAGCACCGTTACCGCCGGATCCGGTCTTGCTCTCGACTACGGCCTCCTCGTGGCCCGCGTCGCCGGCAAAGTCCTCGTTCAGCCGGCGATGGCACGGCACGTTGCGAGTGACGAGGTACTGCTTTCCGGGGGGCAGGTAGTTGACGCGGCGAGAGGCATCGTCGGCGTCGCCCCACGACCAGGTGGGGAACTTGGAGACGAGGTAGTCTCCCGCCGCGACGAACTCTTCCGGTGTGATCTGGCCCGACTGTCGGAAAGTCGATGTGTGGGATACCGGTGTGTAGCGGTCGCGGAGCGTGTTCACCGTCGAGTAGAGGATGTTCATGGTGATGACGTTGCGTCTGCCCAACTCAGAGAGTCGTTGCCTGCGGCGTTCTGTATAGCGAGGGTTATCGAGCGAAAGTGGTAGAATTCGGCGAGATGGAAGAACGTAGATCAGGTCGTCAAGGGTGTCGTGCGCTTGGTCGATGATGAGTTGATGTTTTGACCTGGAAGTCCAGAGGTGTTGACTCGGGCCGCAACCCAGTTGCGGAGATGGAATCGAGGCAGAATATGCTTCGCGAGGCGGAGCACCAGCCTAGTGTATCGTTGGATTAGTAAAGTCTCTATATGTCTGACGGCTGAAGGATAAGTCGATCGGTAGGTTGATGAGATAAAGTGATGTTGATGTTGGACAGTTTCCGTAAGGTAAGGTACCTAGTAGGTAACGCAAGAAGTAACATATAATTATCGAGGAGGTCGAGGTGGTGTCCTGTGTCCTACTTGTACCTAAAGGTAGGTAGGCAGACACTCAAAGCCGTCGAGGAGCTCCTCGATTGCTCACTTATCTCTAAAGCGTCACCGGTGTACCTCCACAGCAAAGTACCTCCGGAAGGTCGATCACATGGACTGCGGGGTCGCCTGACAGGCGACAGGTGGCTAAGTGGTACCTCATTGTAAAGTATCTTGGTGGCGGGGTACTAATTACGAACAAGGTGGAGGGGAAACTTATCTTATCAACCATCAATACCTACGCCACGAGCCCAGACATTACCTAGGTACCTCAAGGTACCTAACCATACACGGTTGATCTACCCGTATTAATGGTATACGGTACCGAAAACGAAGCCGGGCAAAACTATTATATTCTATCACGTAAGCCACGGTGTGGTGACCTCCTATTGGTTAGAGGTGCCCCACTATCCTTACTTAGAAGGTGGTAGATATATTTAGGACACGTATACCCGCCCCCTTTTTCTTTCTCTTTTATATATAATACGATTATATATTTTCTGAATTAACGCTCCCTATAAGTATGCTCCTGTTAATTTAATAGTTATAAGCCCGGGTAATAGTAGTAACCAGTAACTTCCTGCTAATCTATTATCTATATTTATTTTTATATACTTCTATAGTATTACGGAGCCCTCCTACGCTCTCTCTCCTAATAATAAGCTCTTATTCGCTAAACCCTTACTCGATACTATATCGAATAAGCTTAAGATCACGGCTAAAGCGCTCGGTATCCCGCGCCTTAAATCCATATAGTAATAGGCCGATTAAATCTTCTATATCCAGTTATATATATAAGGGATAAAGGTCCAGGTATTACTCGATCCTAGCTTAAAGGATTAGCTAGATAACCGTCCTAAGTATATTATACCTAAATCCCTGGATTAACTACGCGAATAATATTCCTAAGGTAAAGGCGACGATACTATTATACCCTTAACGCAGGAGCTTATACGCCTCGCCGAAATCGAGAACTAATAGACTATAGCTTAGAATTAAAAGCTCGGTCGCCTTATTAAGGCGCTTAATAAGGCTAATTAACTAATTAAAACCACCGTAAAGACCTCTGCTTATTAATAAGCTATCGAAGAGGCTATTAAAAAATATCCTGGCTATAATAAGAAAAAATAAAATAGACACTTTACGTTACGCTATATTATAGAAGAACTTAAGAGTAGCTTCGCTTTAAGTAGTATTTACACGAAGGAAGAGGTAAGACGAGTATACGAAAAGTATCTATAAGACGCTTATCGAGCTAACACTAAAATAGCTATATAGTATACAGAGTAGAATACCCTTATTAAACGCGTATATTAGTAAAAGATAGCTAAGATTAAAGGACCTACTACTATTCGGAACTTCCTTATAGTAGTTAGATAGAAGTTTATGCTTATTTAGGTAAAAACTAAGCTTTAGGAGCTAGTAATAAAAGAGGTCTGCGGCGACGAGATTTCTAATTTTTTAATATATAGCCGCGAGTTTAACGCTATTATAAGCGCTTTAACCACGGATAGCACGCGCTATAGCGTTTACACGACCCTAAAAGACCGCTTAGATAATAATAAAGGCGGAAAGAAGGCTAAGAAGAAAAGCACTAATTACCCTTATCGACGCGAGTATATATAGAAGCCGGAGCACTATGATAAGCTAGAGTACGCTCTAACCAGAAAATACGAGCAGAGATCTAATACCTACGTTAATAAAAAGTAGTATAAGGAGATACGGAAGGAGATTAAGCTCCTAAAGTAGAAGAGCTTACGCGAAAAACTATCGAAAAAGGGATAGGAAAGCTCGGAGAGCGGTAATAGTAAGGGTAGAGATAGGTATCCTGGGAAGGTTATTATAATTATCCTGGATCCCGCCCTTATCTACACTATAGAAAAGGTTCTTAGGATCTACGCCGCGCTCCGACTAGGCCTCTACCCGCTCTTATAGAGCACTCTTCTTAATAATTATAGCGTAACTCACCTTATTAACTTAATCGACCTGCTTATTCCAGGTTCCTTTATTTCTATAAAGGGATTTATCGAATCCGGTATAACTGACTTCCGATTATTAGTAAAGGTAAACGGCTTTTTAAGGGAATTCTTAATAGACCTCTAAGTGCTCCGAAAGCTAACTTAAAACTTAACGATATAGTTATCGTGGAGGGATTTTACACGAATATTATATCGAAAGCTCTATTATATAAGGTTAGGATCTAGTATTCGGGTTATAACTACTTATTATGCTTTAGAACGGCGGAGAAGAGCGTAGTCTTATTAAAGCTACTTCGACGCTTTAATATAACTATCCTTTAGTATAAGCTAATTTTATTTTCTTCTTCTTCTTATTCGTTATTCTAACCGATACTATATAGTATTATTCCGATTAATTACGACTATTAAGATATACTAGTTATAGTAGTCGATCGACTAATAAAAGCTTACCGATATTACCGACCTATCTAAGACCCTCCGCGTCCACGAGTTACCGAAGAATAGTTATAGCACTTAAGAGCAGGCTATCTTAGACTAAGCGCTCTACGAGTATTAGTTTATAACGCTAGGAATATATTAATAAAGAGAACTAAATGGATAGACTATAAGATATACTCCTGAACCTAGGTACGTTAAGTTATATCTCGATACACATTAGAATACCGCTCCCTATAACCGTTTTAGCGTATTTATTAAGATCTTTAAGAGCTATCTAAGAGCTATAACGGTATACGATATCTTCTTATAATAAAGGACGAATATAGCGGCTAGATCTACGTGCTGCCTTTAGCTTCGAAAAATAGCGTTACGGTTTATGACGCGCTATAAGCCTTCGAACGATAGGTTAATCGGCAGTTTATATTATATATCTATATGATACGTAGTGATAATAAGCCCTTAATCGTTAATCTAATAGGGGATTTAATAACCTAGCTATAAACGAGTAGTTAAGGGATCGATATAGAAATTATACCGCCCTATACCTATAAACCGAATAGAGGTAGCGAAAAAGCCGGTTAACTAATTATTATAAAGTCTAATACTATACTTAACGGAGCAGGAATTCCACTAGATAAATAGCTAGAAAGCACTAGAATAGTAGCGTTATTATATAATATAAGTCCCTTATAACGACATGGATAGAAATCCCTAGTAGAAATCCTAGACTTATAGTTTAGAGATAATACGCCGATTCTGGTAAAAGAGTATATAGCCGACCTACGCCCTGATTAGAGTGGTATTTATACCTATAGCTACCGTGTCTATTTAATAGCGAGGGATAAGGAGGCTAGGAGGAATAGAAAACTATATAAGGTTTAACTAAGGGGATATATTAGATATCTTATAAGTTATATTACCTATAATATTTACCGAGTATAGATTCTATAGCTTTAGAAGGTTATTATAACGCGTAATATACAGTTTAACGAGCAGCTAGTTTATAAACTATAGCTTAAAGAAGCAGAATAGATCCCGGAGCCTAAGGCGAGGAACTAGCTTATAACTTACGAAATATAAGAAGATAAAGATAACGACTTTATCCTATAGGCCTACCCTCCGGGTAGATTAATTAATAGCGTACCTTCTAGAGAATAAGTATAGTCTACGGGTTCGAACTCGGGGGTAAGAGTAGTAGAGGCTAAATTAGACGCTTTATTACTATTACTAGATACACCTAGTATACCCAAACCGCCCGTAATAGGACTTTAAACCCCACGCGTAATACCTAATCCTTAGAGCAGGAATCTTTAGGTTATAAGCGTAGAGCTATAGTCTTCGGAGGAACTCTTAATTAATAATTCTTCCGACTAATAAGATAATAGAGTGGCTATCTAAAAAGATACTAGAACCGATACGCTAGGATTATATATACTAGAGCTTAATACAGATACTTCGACGATTTTAACTATAGAAAGGAGTACGTAGGCGATAGTATAGCGATTAGCTACTCCTAATCTGCACCACGGTACTAGCCGTATTATAGTGTCCGGATCTAGACTACCTATCCGACCGACTCCTAAGGTAACCGCCTACTAAAGGAAAAAGAGTATACTAGTAAAGAAAGTAACGCACGCTAGCGTAAGAATCACCGATCGCCGTGCTTAAGGAAAGACTATTCGGATTAATCCACGGATATATTAGGTAAAGCTAGATATATCTTTAACTTATACCTTTTTCTTATCTAATTAATAAGAAGAGCGCTAGAATAGGCTAGAAAGGCTTCTAACTATTAATTTAATAATTCTCGGAGTAGCCGATACTAAAATAAATACCCGTTTAAATACTAAAAGAGAGGCTATAATATCACTAAAGCCCTTAATTAACGGTAGGGTTTATCGCGACTACCTAAAAGCTATGCTAAGGTATTAGCGGGAGCTTACTAACTACCCGATACGTGAACGGTTTAAGGAAGCCACGTAGAAAGAGGTGAATAAGCTAATTAAGAAGCGTATATAGAGGGAAATTAAGCGCTTAGAGACGAAGTTAAAGCCTTTTCCGTTAAAGTGGGGTTTTACCTATAAGTTTAACTAAGATAGATATCTTAAACGATATAAGACACGCTTATATATTCGAGGGGACTTATAGAAGAGCTTAATAATTAAGGGAACCTATATAGTAACGCTAGCTATAAAATCTTTTTATATTTTTATAGCCCTGGCTACTTCGTTTAGTCTAGAAATTAAGTAACTTAATATCGTTAACGCCTTCGTTAACGCTTAGAGGAGTAAAATAGGAACGCCTATTATATACGAATTTCCTAATAGATTTAAGTAGCCCGATAAGTGCTTAAAGCTTAATAAAGCACTATATAGACTACACGACTTACCTAGACTATGGTTCTAGACCTTCACGGCTACTCTAATAGACTTAGGGATAGTGGCTAGTAAGGAAGAACCGTGCCTATTCTATACTAAGGCTTAAGACGTATTCGTTATCTTCTTTATAGACGATATTCTTATATTATTTCATAGAGATAGTACTTCAAACGGCCTTAGGATTATTG